CACTGGCTCAACTAACCCACTGGTTCAACTAACCCACTGGCTCAACTAACCCACTGGTCCAACTAACCCACTGGTTCAACTTACCCACTGGTTCAACTAACCCACTGGCTCAACTAACCCACTGGTCAACTACCCACTGGTTCAACTAACCCACTGGTTCAACTAACCATGGTTCAACTTACCCACTGGCTCATAACCCCACTGGCTCAACTAACCCACTGGCAACTAACCCACTGGCTCAACTAACCCACTGGTTCAACTACCCACTGGTTCAACTTACCCACTGGTTCAACTAACCCACTGGCTCAACTAACCCACTGGTTCAACTTACCCACTGGTTCAACTAACCCACTGGTTCAACTTACCCACTGGCTCAACTAACCCACTGGCTCAACTCCAACTAACCCACTGGTTCAACTAACCCACTGGTTCAACTACCACTTTCAACTAACCACTGGCACTCAATGCTCAAACCACGGTAAACCCAATAAAACTGGTTCAAACTAACCCACTGGCTCAACTAACCCACTGGTTCAACTAACCCAATGGCTCAACTAACCCACTGGTTCAACTAAACCACTGGCTCAACTAACCCACTGGTTCAACTAACCCACTGGTTCAACTTACCCACTGGCTCAACTAACCACTGGCTCAACTAACCCACTGGTTCAACTAACCCACTGGTTCAACTAACCCACTGGCTCAACTAACCCACTGGCTCAACTAACCCACTGGCTCAACTAACCCACTTGTTCAACTAACCCAACTGGCTCAACTAACCCACTGGCCTCAACTAACCCACTGGCTCAACTAACCCACTGGCTCAACTAACCCACTGGCTCAACTAACCCACTGGTTCAACAACTAACCCACTGGCTCAACTAACCACTGGTTCAACTAACCCACTGGCTCAACTAAACCCACTGGCTCAACTAACCACTGGCTCAAACTAACCCACTGGTCCAACTTTCCCACAGGCCACAATCAACAACCTGATCAACTCTATGCGAAGGAGATGTGTTGCACTGCGTGAGGCAAATGGTGGTCATCACCAGATACTGACTGGTTTTCGGACCCCCCCCCAGACCTCTCAATAAAGCAGAACTGCACGTTTCAGAGTGGCCTTTTATTGTGGCCAGCCTAAGGCACACCTGTGCAATAATCATGCTGTCTAATCAGCAGAGGTGGGACCAAGTCATTGTTTTTCAAGTCCGAGTCAAATCTCAAGTCTTTGCCGCTCAAGTCCGAGTCCAAGTCTCAAGTCATTGTTTTGCAAGTCCAAGTCAAGTCTCAAGTCAGGATGGGCAAGTTCAAGTCAAGTCAAGTCCTAACTTGACCAAAACGAGTCATAAACAAGTCATTATGTGTTTTTCACCAAATGTAATGACATCGATCAACAGAATAATACTTAATAATCAAACTGCTCTTTATTAGTCACATTAATAATTTAATAATCCATTTTCTCTCTGCTGGTAAAGTAACGTGTGTTTTTCTAATTTAAGAGGGATCAGTAAGGTAAGCTACCGTGACGGTTTGATTCAGAAGGAGTTTAATGTATAAGATCCCTGATGTTGAGGTAACCAGAATGTTATTTCCACTGTGTACAACATGTTATAAGGGACCCACAATCTATCTTTATGCAAGGGATAATGTGCAGCGAGGCGGTCCTCCTATGGGGAAGAGAACACCTGCATCTAGATCCCTCTGCAGGTGGTACTTTAACTATATTTTGATGCTAATACTTTTGTACTTTTACTTGTAACATTTGAATGCAGGACTTTTTATTGTACAGGGTTCCTGCAGGTTTCGCCAACTCAAATGTAAGACTTTTTTAACACCCTTTTTAAGACCACTTTGAATAGAATTTAAGACCTATTTCACGGCAATAAAGTATGAAGGAAAATGTATATAAGGAAGAAAATACGTCCCATAATGGGTAAGTAGTGGGTGTGACCCCCACGTGTCCCTGTACTTTGGAGGCCCTGCAAGAGAGCTTACTATTTGAAATTGTCCAATTGTCTCCATTTTCACATCAATACATCTTCAGATGGCCTGCATAGCACAGTCTGAGTAACAGCTCCTTGTGTCGATGCAATCGTTGAGATACGGGTCCTGTACATTTCAGAGTGTGCCGCCCACTTCCAATGCACGGTAGTGACTTCAGAGAGGATGTCCACTTCCAATACATTACCTGCAGGATCTCGGGTATTTGAAGTGGACGTCCCCCTCAAAACACACAGCAGACTTATAGTTTGTCTTATGTCTTAAGACCTTCCTTTTTGATAAAGCTTATAGTTAGGGCTGATTAGATCCAGCCCCTAGTTTTGCTGATATAGGCTTAGTTTTGTCGGGGGACTTATTACTTCCTTCCTTCTCTCTGTCTATACCTGTGTACTCTCATGTTCCGATTACCCAGCTTCCCCAAATGTCTTTCTTTTTGGTGTCTATATACGCCGGATCCGGAGTCATGGATGATCCTGCGCTCCTCTGTCCTGGATCGCGAGCCCTGGATCTTGAGTCGTGGCTGTGGTCCTGGATCATAGGTCCTGGATGGATATCCTCGTGGATTCATCTTCCTATTATACACACATGCATTCCAAACATTTGGACTACCTATGTTGCAAATGTATTATCTTTTCAATTTACACACGGCATCTATTGCACGTCTGTCCGTCCTGGGAGAGGGATCCCTCCTCTGTTGCTCTCCCTGAGGTTTTCTCCCATGTTCCCTTTAAACTGTGGGTTTCTCCGGAAGTGTTTCCTTGTACGATGTGAGGGTCTAAGGACAGAGGGTCTAAGGACAGAGGGTCTAAGGACAGAGGGTCTAAGGACAGAGGGTGTCGTATTGTCATACTGATATTTTGTACAAACTGTAAAGTCCACTGAGACCAAATGTAACATTTGTGATATTGGGCTATAAATAAACATTGATTGATTGATTGATTATGTCCCATATATAATATGTTGCTTTTTGGAGGAGCTTGAAGATTTGCTTTGCCATCACTACACTGTAGCTGCTGTGCATCTGATAATAAAACCCTTGAATCTCGTAAACACTCATGTTGCATGGTATGGTGAATAACACGTGGTGCTGGTGGATCATGTCTGCAGCTTGATCTCCATGAAGCTGAACGAGTCAGGAAAGAGTCTCATCCCACTGAGAGAAGGTTTTCTGAAGCCTCATAGCGCCCCCTGGTGGCCATGATGTCAAGTGACCCCATGGTTCAGATCAACTCCCTGATAAACACTGAGGAAAAGTGAACGATGCTCATGGAGGATCCATTTAAATGTAATCAATCAAACTCAGGAGGAGTTCAGCTAGCTAGCAGGTTTATCAATTATTAGAAGTTTATCCAATAATGACAAAACTCAATGTAGAACTTTTATTTGTATAAATATATCAGAAACAGAATTCCTTTATAGGTCCCACAGCAGGGGAACATACATATATATATATATATCTGAAACTGAACCTATGAAAAGGATTGTTCCACATCCAAATGAAACTCCAGTGTTTTCATGCTGAATGCTTTTCTTCTAAATAGCACACATGCATTGATGAACTATCCAGACTCTGGGGAACTCCTCCTGTGAAGAACAGCTGCAATGTAATAATGCAGGAAACTCAGGTTACACACTAATAATACAAGTAAAAGGACATCACTTCCTTAATATGTAAGAACATATGTGGACCTGTGTACAGGATCATTCCTTCATATCAGAGAAAGAATATATCAATATAAAAGTATTATTAAAGTTGATGAAACAATAGAAAGGACAGTCCACGCCTAGTTGAGCTAGCCTACAGTAATCACATAAATACAACCTGAACCTGAGAAGAGGGAGAAGAGCTTTTCTACAGATTGATTGTTTCAAGGTTTCCTGTAACAGAGGAAGTTCAGCTTCTTGCTGCAGTCCTCCGTCTCGTAGCGCTTGGTGCTGTTCTTCACCAGGACGCCACAGAACCTCTGAGTCCGGCCACATTGCATCTCCTCGTCCACATCCTGCACGGCTTCTCCATCGCCCGTCCAGAACCACTGACCCGCCAGGAAGCGCAGGGCCCGTCCACACCTGACCACATTTAAGCAGAGAGGTGAGATATTTATGTACACCACGTCTTTATTTGAACAAGGACCATGCATGTGTGGTGTGGATTTAAAATGTAGTCATTGTGTTTTTTAATAAAGGAGGTTTATTAGATCATGATTCCTGAATTACTGGAATGAACTCTGACAATTAACCGACACTGAGCGAAAGCATCGACAAACGCTGCTGTGATCGCCCTCCGTATAATGTGTACTACACATATACCCGTATGGTAGTATTCACACTGTGATCACCCTCCGTATAATGTGTACTACACTATACTCGTATGGTAGTACTCACACTGTGATCACCCTCTCTATAATGTGTACTACACATATACTCGTATATGGTAGTATTCACACTGTGATCACCCTCCGTATAATGTTGTACTACACATATACTCGTATGGTAGTATTCCACACTGTGATCGCCCTCCGTATAATGTGTGCTACACATATACTCGTATGGTAGTATTCATACTGTGATCGCCCTCCGTATAATGTGTGCTACACATATACTCGTATGGTAGTATTCACACTGTGATCGCCCTCCGTATAATGTGTACTACACATATACTCGTATGGTAGTATTCACACTGTGATCACCCTCCGTATAATGTGTACTACACATATACTCGTTTATGGTAGTATTCACACTGTGATCGCCCTCCGTATAATGTGTACTACACATATACTCGTATGGTAGTATTCACACTGTGATCGCCCTCTGTATAATGTGTACTACACATATACTCGTATGGTAGTATTCATACTGTGATCACCCTCTGTATAATGTGTACTACACATATACTCGTATGGTAGTATTCACACTGTGATCGCCCTCCGTATAATGTGTACTACACATATACTCGTATGGTAGTACTCACACTGTGATACCATGCTAGTTTTATAGGAGGCTGGATAACTGGATTCATTAGTGTTTCTTTTTCTACTCCTTAATGTTTCCAGATGAAGATCGAGTGTTAACGAAGACAGCCTTAGAAGAAATGTCGGTGTGCAAAATGTCAACACACAGGAGGAGTTGCTCTAAAACACAAACTCTGTGTAGAAAGCTCCGTCACCTGGTCAGTGGAAGCCTCTCCAGCCCTCGGGCGTGCGTAGGCGCGGTCGTCCTCAGTGCGCACGGAGGCCAGGTCGTAGCGGTAGTTCCAGGTGAGGTCCACTGGCTCATTTGGGTTTTCAGCCTCCAGAAGCCTGCAGTGCCTCAAAGCCTGATCCCACGTCTTCCTCTCCTTCACCAGACTCTCATCGGAACACAAGAAACTGAACTTGCTGTCACATCGCTTGTCATTCCATTTGTGATTATGCTTGAACATCACAACACATTTATCATCATTGAGTTTTGGTTGACCTGCAAGAAGTAGAAAAAGTGTTTGACATGATTCACAAACCAGAAACATTTCTTTATTTTTTCAGTTTTTGCTTTAACTCAGAGACACTATTGATAGAAAGTGAGGAGAAGGTTGGTGAACATCAGCAGGAGAGGACTCTTTAAAGTAGAGACCACTACATACTGATATACACCTGAACATCAGCAGGAGAGGACTCTTTAAAGTAGAGACACTACATACTGATATACACCTGAACATCAGCAGGAGAGGACTCTTTAAAGTAGAGACACTACATACTGATATACACCTGAACATCAGCAGGAGAGGACTCTTTAAAGTAGAGACACTACATACTGATATACACCTGAACATCAGCAGGAGAGGACTCTTTAAAGTAGAGACACTACATACTGATATACACCTGAACATCAGCAGGAGAGGACTCTTTAAAGTAGAGACACTACATACTGATATACACCTGAACATCAGCAGGAGAGGACTCTTTAAAGTAGAGACACTACATACTGATACACACCTGAACATCAGCAGGAGAGGACTCTTTAAAGTAGAGACACTACATACTGATATACACCTGAACATCAGCAGGAGAGGACTCTTTAAAGTAGAGACACTACATACTGATATACACCTGAACATCAGCAAGAGAGGACTCTTTAAAGTAGAGACACTACATACTGATATACACCTGAACATCAGCAAGAGAGGACTCTTTAAAGTAGAGACACTACATACTGATATACACCTGAACATCAGCAGGAGAGGACTCTTTAAAGTAGAGACACTACATACTGATATACACCTGAACATCAGCAGGAGAGGACTCTTTAAAGTAGAGACACTACATGCTGATATACACCTGAACATCAGCAGGAGAGGACTCTTTAAAGTAGAGACACTACATACTGATATACACCTGAACATCAGCAGGAGAGGACTCTTTAAAAGCCTAACAGCCTAAAGTTTCGTGCTAGCCAGACTTACCGAATGCCCAGTTGGTGAAGTTGGCGATCTCGTCTGTTTCCGACCATTTCCACTCGGAGTCTTTAGTGTTTTTGAACAAAACCGATCCATACGTCATTATGAAACGAACCCTCCAACTCTTCTCCGGCTCTGATGGTGGCCAGATCACTGTGGTGTTCTCTGCAAAAGGTCTGTGCTTCGCTCCATGTCTTCGGTTCATTGTAATATGTAAAGCCAGGTCTCAGAGTAGACCCGCACACGGCAGCAAACAGCAGCAGCAGGACGGAGGCTTTTCTCATCATGGTTTCCACAGACCTGCAGTCACATTTATATTTATATATACTTTGTAGTCTGCAAAAATAACTTTGAACATCCCACCATTATCAGAGCTATGGTTGGGCGGCAGTAGCTCAGTGCGTGTGTGCACCTAAGTATCAGCAGGTTAAACCGTTCATTTTCATATTTCAATATTGATTTACATTTTTTTATTTCTGTATGAAAACCAAGTACTATTTGTTTCGGCTAATACTTTCTGAAGGGAATTGCATTCAATTGTCAATCATGCAAATGTTATTGATGTCAGCTTTGCTTTTATTGAAATGATTGGATTATCGTAATGAAACTGGTATACAAGATATTTTTGACTAAACTAAATCTCAAATTGCAAAATGATTATTTCTATACTACTTTATTTCTTCACATGATTCCTTTTTACTTCTGACTTTCTAGAATAAAAAAAGACATCGACGCCAGCTTTTTCTTAGCTCAGTAAAACGTTATTTTGACATATTGATACGATTAAAACTATCTAAAGTTTTTCAAAAGGCATTTCATCATTTACCTTGGAGATGTAATTACAATGAAACAGTTCGTTAAAGAGTGCTTCAACCTTTGAGTACGACTCTACCACCTCTGCTCTTTATCCAACACTTAAACACCTGACTCTACTGGTAACTGAACTGTAGTGCTGCCCTTCAACCCTCTGCAGTCTGGAAGCAAGACTTCAGTTCAAAGTACAGGGAATAACAAGGAATACAATTCAAATCCAGCACTCACCTTGGATGATGACGGATTGGAAGCCAGCGCTGAGTCTCTGGGTTTTCAGGAGATGATATTTAAAATACTCGATTCACAGACTGCTGCACCAATCACAGCTCAGATCTAGGCAAATCACAACTAGTGTGCAAAACCCAGCTGACACGCAGAGCGACCGTGACATCCATGGCTTTTTGAATATTCTTTGTCCCTCAGGAAGGTTCTATTGGAGTTTAATGAGCCGGTAAAGAAAAATATATAACGGGAAAAGTAAAGGCAGGACAGGAAGTTATCCTTTCAACGCACACACACACATATACACACACACACACACACACACACACACACACACACACACACACACACACACACACACACACACCACACACACACACACACACACACACACACACACACACACACACTTTTGAATACCGCCATACTTCAGCACTACACAAAACATTTCATTTGAAAAACAAATGCACCATCCCACCATGACAAAGATATGGTGCCAGTAGAATTCTGACTTTTTCTTAGAAATCTGACTTTTTTTCCAAGAATTCTGTCATTTTGAACAATTCTGACTTTTTCTAACAATTTTGATTTTCTCTTGTAATTATCGGGAGCCTTTCAGATTTCCTCTGCCACTTTCGACCAATCACATAAGTGCATTATTTAAATCATCATAGTGTTGCATCTGTGCGTTGCTTTGATTTAATAGATGATCTTGGGTAAAAGATCCATGTTCTGTTTCGTATTTAACTATTTACAATAAATCACATTGGAACGTGTCTCTGATTGAAATGGACTTAGTTGATGTGAGCCCCTGGTTTTGACTGTGATTAAAAGTGGGTGTGCACTCTCACCACGTGATCGGTCACAGAACATAGTAGGCTTGTTTGAGACGCATTGCGGCCAAGCGGCAAACTCTAGGGAAGAGCCGGGACGCTAATACGGAAGTGTCTCAAACTGCAGTTCATCTAGTGGCCAGTAGGAGCAGGCTACAGAAGGGAGCAATTTCCATAGACCCCCATGTTAAAATGCCCAACTTTACAGCAGAAATAAACATGTTTACATCGTGGTTCAAAAAACCATATTCTCTGTATAGTTAGATTCCCCCTTCATGAATATGGATTGGGGGGGTGCATTTTTTCTCAACTCATCTGTTTAATTAATATTAAGCCTTAAAGCTGTGCATAAATTAGGGCGTGGTCACTTTGATGGACATGTACATGCTTCACTGTCAGCTAACAGCAACTTGTCCACTCTGCTAGGCTACAACCATAGAGGCTACAACGTTAGTTAGTCATAGTACTGTACTTGACCCTTTAGCCGTGTTCGTGGTGATCGTGCCTTTTAGGGAATATTGTTACAAATACCAGACAATTAAAATGTTGTACTGTGCGCTTGAATGTACTAACAGAACTTCCAAGAAGTCTAAAATGATAATATTATACATGTTAACCCCGTTCGCAGGTGTTTGTGTGCTTGGTAGCTTAGCTTACTACTTATTAGCCAGCTAAGGACGTAACCCTTTATGCATACATATACATTTTAGTTTATGATTCAGCCTTGGGTAAGACTTTTATAGTCTATGGCTATGACGCCCATAATGCTAAACGGGAGCAAATGTTAATAGGGGACCCAATTATCCCAGTGGTGGCCGCCGGAGCTAACGGAGCCGCAGGGGGCTAGCTCTAGCCGGCGTCCCGGAGCTAGCCCACTGCGGCTCCGTTAGGTCCGGGCGGTGGAGTCCGTCTTTTCTCAACGTGTGAATGACAAGCATTAAGAATAACAAAATATAGCTAATTCTCTTGCAGATTGTCTCATTTGATTATGAATGTAACGTTTATATAGGGGAACTACACTGTTTGCAGTAACTTGGTATGCATGTATTTCATGTTAGCTTAGCTTCTTAGCCTGAGCTAGCTCTGTTTACTTCCAGTTCGGAGGCAGCAAGTCCCGCCTCGGCTCCGCCTCTTTGCCCTTATTTGGAGCATGCGGGATTAGACTCTGACGTCACAGTCGAGCCGTTAGTGGCCGACTCCGCCTACTAAGGGCTTCACGGCAACTCTTCAGAATCCTATGGGTGACGTCACGGACCCTACGTCCAATTATATATACAGTCTATGGTTGCGGCTCGCCTCGAAAGTAGACGAGAATAGTCGATCGCAGCCGGGGGAGGTCTCAAAAAGCTCGCCTGAAGTCGGACAGGTCCGAGTCTTCTTCTTCTTCTTCTTCTTCTTCTTCTTCTTCTTCTTCTTCTTCTTCTTCTTCTTCTTCTTCTTCTTCTTCTTCTTCTTCTTCTTCTTCTTCTTCTTCTTCTTCTTCTTCTTCTTCTTCTTCTTCTTCTTCTTCTTCTTCTTCTTCTTCTTTTTTGGCGGATTGCAAACAACTTTTACCTCATTCACACCAACGCAACTCCGGTTCAAGCTCCGTGCTAGAGCTTTTCAGGTTCAGAACCAGTTCTTCGGTTTAGCTCTGGCTCTTTTCACACCGCCCAGAGTCCACTGGTGCTGCGTGTTGCGTCATCGTTTGCGTCATGACGTAACCGTTTGCGTGCCTGCTTCATAAAGCCAAACCGCACGGATGAAATCAGTTGCATTCATTTCTTATGGCTCTATCTGCAGCTTTTCCGGAGTCATTTCTGTGGTTGAGTTATATTCTTATAAAAAAGTGTACTCGTGTCAATAAAGGTTTTTTAAAAACACAACTGCTTCCGAGGTCGGTCTTATTTCTTAAGGTGGACTGAACCCTGAGTGTGGAGTAACGTTGTATCTTTCATTTAAATGAACTGTAACCTTCACCCAGGTATGTAACAGCTGTTCTCAAATGAACACGTGAAGTAAAGTTTAATATTTATAGTTTTATAGATTTATAATGAGTTATAATGAGAGGTGATCAACGTGAATGCTCAGGTTCCACCTTAACACGCAGACACGTTGCTTCACCAGGAGCAGAAACCTTTATATATACAGTCTATGGCAGAAACTCTGAAACTCTTAAGTTTCTCCATCGTTGTACAAACTGGATAAAACGCGAGCTTTTTGTTGTTCAGGAGTTGATCTGTCTCTGCCCCCGCCTCGACGTAAGCGTGACGTATGTGGTGCTTTTGCTCGGGCCGGACAATTTGTTGGTGCTTGAAACGAACCGGATTCCGGAGCTAAGAGGCGGCTGCGGTGTGAAGAGGAAACCCCGGTGCTTTTCAAGCTCCAGCTCCGAACCGGCCCTAAACAACGTTGGTGTGAATGAGGTATCTAAGGTGCATACCGCCACCTCCGGAGTCGGCTTGACTCGGTTTGCATTTATAAAGAATGCACACATGTGTTTAATCGTTAATGTCAGATATGTACTAAGTAAATACATTTGTTCCTGCTCCAGATTAGATTCAACTTTATTGTTATTGCACATATTACAGGTACTGAGACAACGAAATGCAGTTTAGCTTCTAACCAGGTGCAACAAGCAGTGAAGTGAAAAGTAATGTACACAATCTACAGAATAAAATATAGAATGAATTGAATGATGAATAAACAGTGAGGGGTATGAATACACTAGATATCAGCCTGTGAGCAGTATGAACAGTGTGTATGAATACACTAGATATCAGCCTGTGAGCAGTATGAACAGTGTGTATTAATACACTAGATATATAAAGTATGAAACGGTAAGCAGTGCAAGTATAGTATCAAATATATAGATATTAATTTCATGATGATAAAACATTGTGGAACAATGATGAAAAATGGGAATGGAAGTGGCGACGTAAAACTGACACAAAACAACAACAAACTTTAGCCGAGCCAATGGGAGAGCTTCATCAGCAGCACGGGGTAAAAACCACCAATGAGCGCTCAGCTCGAGATACCAGCGAGTCGTTTCCCATCAAGCATTTCGCTTCCGCAGCCCGTGGAGAGGAACTGCGCCGCCTCGCCGCGCCTCGCTCTCAAGGCTGCGGGCGTCTTTGTCCCGCGAGATTTCAACGTCTCATGTAGGCGAGCCTCCAGAGCAAGTCGGACAAAATGACTAACCATCATGCAACGCACGAGCAAGACGTTGATCGCAACTGCGCAGGTAGCAACCATGGTGGAAAAGCTGATAACAACAGTGTGCAAAGTTTAACGCGATCAAGTCATATTACAGGAGAAAGGAAATACAGTTTACACTGCCGTTGTAGTTCAAATCAGCGACTGTGTGAACGTGAACATGAATAGAATATCACCTCCATCTTCAGAGCAATCTGACTATTATAACATTAGCGTTAAGAAAGCTTACTGAAATATCTGCCACAACACAAGTAACCGGATCAGAGTCACATTAGGGAGAGTGGGGTAAGTTGAGCCATTTTTTACTTATGCTGTCCTCTAAGCAAGGAGAAATGACACATAGTAAAAATGAAAACACACACCTATAATTCAGGATGTCTCCTATCAATGGCAAGGATAAGAATTCATATTTGATCAAGGCAGTGAAAATATTACTTCTAAAAAAAAGTTAAAATTCAGAGTCATCTTTAGCTTAATGATTCACATGGTGTAATACGTTGCCAATACATCAACATATACAATATATGTGTTTAAACCTGGATACTTTTTTTTTACATGACAGCCGATAAGCTGACATCTAGAAATTTACTTTGACAAGCAAAAAACGTTTTTTTGTAAACCTTTGTAGTTACTAGAACACAATGAGGATCTCTCTTTCACAGGCAATGAGAAATGGGTGGAGCTTGCATACTTTCTGGTCACTTGATTACAACTATAGGGCGTTGCCTGGTTACAGGGGGTGGTTCAACTAACCCACTGGTTCAACTAACCCACTGGTTCAACTTACCCACTGGTTCAACTTACCCACTGGCTCAACTAACCCACTGGTTCAACTAACCCACTGGTTCAACTTACCCACTGGCTCAACTAACCCACTGGTTCAACTAACCCACTGGCTCAACTAACCCACTGGTTCAACTAACCCACTGGTTCAACTAACCCACTGGCTCAACTGACCCACTGGCTCAACTAACCCACTGGTTCAACTTACCCACTGGCCTCAACTAACCACTGGTTCAACTAACCCACTGGTTCAACTTACCCACTGGTTCAACTTACCCACTGGCTCAACTAACCCACTGGTTCAACTAATCCACTGGTTCAACTAACCCACTGGCTCAACTAACCCACTGGCTCAAACTGACCCACTGGCTCAACTAACCCACTGGCTCAACTAACCCACTGGTTCAACTAACCCACTGGCTCAACTAACCCACTGGTTCAACTAACCCACTGGCCTCAACTAACCCACTGGTTCAACTAACCCCACTGGTTCAACTTACCCACTGGTTCAACTAACCCACTGGCTCAACTAACCCACTGGTTCAACTTACCCACTGGTTCAACTAACCCACTGGTTCAACTAACCCACTGGTTCAACTTACCCACTGGCTCAACTAACCACTGGCTCAACTAACCCACTGGTTCAACTAACCCACTGGTTCAACTACCCACTGGCTCAACTAACCACTGGCTCAACTAACCCACTGGCTCAACTAACCCACTGGCTCAACTAACCCACTGGCTCAACTAACCCACTGGTTCAACTAACCCACTGGTTCAACTAACCCACTGGTTCAACTAACCCACTGGTTCAACTTACCCACTGGTTCAACTAACCCACTGGTTCAACTAACCCACTGGCTCAACTAACCCACTGGCTCAACTAACCCACTGGCTCAACTAACCCACTGGCTCAACTAACCCACTGGTTCAACTAACCCACTGGTTCAACTAACCCACTGGTTCAACTAACCCACTGGCTCAACTAACCCACTGGCTCAACTAACCCACTGGTTCAACTTACCCACTGGTTCAACTAACCCACTGGCTCAACTAACCCACTGGTTCAACTTACCCACTGGTTCAACTAACCCACTGGCTCAACTAACCCACTGGCTCAACTAACCCACTGGCTCAACTAACCCACTGGTTCAACTAACCCACTGGTTCAACTAACCCACTGGCTCAACTAACCCACTGGCTCAACTAACCCACTGGCTCAACTAACCCACTGGCTCAACTAACCCACTGGCTCAACTAACCCACTGGCTCAACTAACCCACTGGTTCAACTAACCCACTGGCTCAACTAACCCACTGGCTCAACTAACCCACTGGCTCAACTACCCACTGGTTCAACTAACCCACTGGCTCAACTAACCCACTGGTCCAACTTTCCACAGGCCACAATCAACAACCTGATCAACTCTATGCGAAGGAGATGTGTTGCACTGCGTGAGGCAAATGGTGGTCACACCAGATACTGACTGGTTTTCGGACCCCCCCCAGACCTCTCAATAAAGCAGAACTGCACGTTTCAGAGTGGCCTTTTATTGTGGCCAGCCTAAGGCACACCTGTGCAATAATCATGCTGTCTAATCAGCAGAGGTGGGACCAAGTCATTGTTTTGCAAGTCCGAGTCAAGTCTCAAGTCTTTGCGCTCAAGTCCGAGTCAAGTCTCAAGTCATTGTTTTGCAAGTCCAAGTCAAGTCTCAAGTCAGGATGGGCAAGTTCAAGTCAAGTCAAGTCCTAAACTTTGACAAAACGAGTCATAAACAAGTCATTATGTGTTTTTCACCAAATGTAATGACATCGATCAACAGAATAATACTTAATAATCAAACTGCTCTTTATTAGTCACATTAATCATTTAATAATCCATTTTCTCTCTGCTGGTAAAGTAACGTGTGTTTTTCTAATTTAAGAGGGATCAGTAAGGTAAGGCTACCGTGACGGTTTGATTCAGAAGGAGTTTAATGTATAAGATCCCTGATGTTGAGGTAACCAGAATGTTTATTTCCACTGTGTACAACATGTTATAAGGGACCCACAATCTATCTTTATGCAAGGGATAATGTGCAGCGAGGCGGTCTCTATGGGGAAGAGAACACCTGCATCTAGATCCCTCTGCAGGTGGTACTTTAACTATATTTTGATGCTAATACTTTTGTACTTTTACTTGTAACATTTTGAATGCAGGACTTTTTATTGTACAGGGTTCCTGCAGGTTTCGCCAACTCAAATGTAAGACTTTTTAACACCTTTTTAAGACCACTTTGAATAGAATTTAAGACCTATTTCACGGCAATAAAGTATGAAGGAAAATGTATATAAAGAAGAAATACGTCCCATAATGGGTAGTAGTGGGTGTGACCCCCACGTGTCCCTGTACTTTGGAGGCCCTGCAAGAGAGCTTACTATTTGAAATTGTCCAATTGTCTCCATTTTCACATCAATACATCTTCAGATGGCCTGCATAGCACAGTCTGAGTAACAGCTCCTTGTGTCGATGCATCGTTGAGATACGGTCCTGTACATTTCAGAGTGTGCCGCCCACTTCCAATGCACGGTAGTGACTTCAGAGAGGATGTCCACTTCCAATACATACCTGCAGGATCTCGGGTATTTGAAGTGGACGTCCCCCTCAAAACACACAGCAGACTTATAGTTTGTCTTATGTCTTAAGACCTTCCTTTTTGATAAAGCTTATAGTTAGGGCTGATTAGATTCAGCCCCTAGTTTTGCTGATATAGGCTTAGTTTGTCGGGGGACATCTTACTTCTTCCTTCTCTCTGTCTATACCTGTGTACTCTCATGTTCCGATTAACCCAGCTTCCCCAAATGTCTTTCTTTTTGGTGTCTATATACGCCGGGATCCGGAGTCATGGATGATCCTGCGCTCCTCTGTCCTGGATCGCGAGCCCTGGATCTTGAGTCGTGGCTGTGGTCCTGGATCATAGGTTCTGGATGGATATCCTCGTGGATTCATCTTCCTATTATACACACATGCATTTCCAAACATTTGGACTACCTATGTTGCAAATGTATTATCTTTTCAATTTACACACGGCATCTATTGCACGTCTGTCCGTCCTGGGAGAGGGATCCCTCCTCTGTTGCTCTCCCTGAGGTTTCTCCCATGTTCCCTTTAAACTGTGGGTTTTCTCCGGAAGTGTTTCCTTGTACGATGTGAGGGTCTAAGGACAGAGGGTCTAAGGTCAGAGGGTCTAAGGACAGAGGGTCTAAGGACAGAGGGTGTCGTATTGTCATACTGATATTTTGTACAAACTGTAAAGTCCACTGAGACAAATGTAACATTTGTGATATTGGGCTATAAATAAACATTGATTGATTGATTGATTATGTCCCATATATAATATGTTGCTTTTTGGAGGAGCTTGAAGATTTGCTTTGCCATCACTACACTGTAGCTGCTGTGCATCTGATAATAAAACCCTTGAATCTCGTAAACACTCATGTTGCATGGTATGGTGAATAACACGTGGTGCTGGTGGATCATGTCTGCAGCTTGATCTCCATGAAGCTGAACGAGTCAGGAAAGAGTCTCATCCCACTGAGAGAAGGTTTTCTGAAGCCTCATAGCGCCCCCTGGTGGCCATGATGTCAAGTGACCCCATGGTTCAGATCAACTCCCTGATAAACACTGAGGAAAAGTGAACGATGCTCATGGAGGATCCATTTAAATGTAATCAATCAAACTCAGGAGGAGTTCAGCTAGCTAGCAGGGATATCAATTATTAGAAGTTTATTCAATAATGACAAAACTCAATGTAGAACTTTTATTTGTATAAATATATCAGAAACAGATTTCCTTTATAGGTCCCACAGCAGGGGAACATACAAATATATATATCTGAAACTGAACCTATGAAAAGGATTGTTCCACATCCAAATGAAACTCCAGTGTTTTCATGCTGAATGCTTTTCTTCTAAATAGCACACATGCATTGATGAACTATCCAGACTCTGGGGAACTCCTCCTGTGAAGAACAGCTGCAATGTAATAATGCAGGAAACTCAGGTTACACACTAATAATACAAGTAAAAGGACATCACTTCCTTAATATGTAAGAACATATGTGGACCTGTGTACAGGATCATTCCTTCATATCAGAGAAAGAATATATCATCAATATAAAAGTATTATTAAAGTTGATGAAACAATAGAAAGGACAGTCCACGCCTAGTTGAGCTAGCCTACAGTAATCACATAAATACAACCTGAACCTGAGAAGAGGGAGAAGAGCTTTTCTACAGATTGATTGTTTCAAGGTTTCCTGTAACAGAGGAAGTTCAGCTTCTTGCTGCAGTCCTCTGTCTCGTAGCGCTTGGTGCTGTTCTTCACCAGGACGCCACAGAACCTCTGAGTCCGGCCACATTGCATCTCCTCGTCCACATCCTGCACGGCTTCTCCATCGCCCGTCCAGAACCACTGACCCGCCAGGAAGCGCAGGCCCGTCCACACCTGACCACATTTAGCAGAGAGGTGAGATATTTATGTACACACGTCTTATTGAACAAGGACCATGCATGTGTGGTGTGGATTTTAAAATGTAGTCATTGTGTTTTAATAAAGGAGGTTTATTAGATCATGATTCCTGAATTACTGGAATGAACTCTGACAATTAACCGACACTGAGCGAAAGCATCGACAACGCTGCTGTGATCGCCCTCCGTATAATTGGGATACTACACATTTTATTCACACTTCCCCGTATGGTAGTATACTCGTATGTTTCCACTGTGATCACCCGCCTGTATAATGTGTAGCTACACATATACTCGTATGGTAGTATTCACCACTGTGATCGCCCTCCGTATAATGTGTACTACACTTACTCTTTGTAGTATTCATACTGTGATCGCCCTCCGTATCATGTGTACTACACATATACTCGTATGGTAGTATTCAAACTGTGATCGCCCTCCGTATAATGTGTACTACACATATACTCGTATGGTAGTATTCACACTTGTGATCGCCCGCGGTATAATGTGTACTACACATATACCGTATGGTAGTATCAGACTGTGATCCGCCTCCGTATAATGTGTACTACACATATACTCGTATGGTAGTATTCATACTGTGATCGCCCTCCGTATAATGTGTACTACACATATACTCGTATGGTAGTATTCACACTGTGATCACCCTCTGTATAATGTGTACTACACATATACTCGTATGGTAGTATTCATACTGTGATCACCCTCTGTATAATGTGTACTACACATATACTCGTATGGTAGTATTCACACTGTGATCGCCCTCCGTATAATGTGTACTACACATATACTCGTATGGTAGTACTCACACTGATCACCCTCTGTATATGTGTACTACACATATACTCGTATGGTAGTACTCACACTGTGATACCATGCTAGTTTTATAGGAGGCTGGATAACTGGATTCATTAGTGTTTCTTTTTCTACTCCTTAATGTTTCCAGATGAAGATCGAGTGTTAACGAAGACAGCCTTAGAAGAAATGTCGGTGTGCAAAATGTCAACACACAGGAGGAGTTGCTCTAAAACACAAACTCTGTGTAGAAAGCTCCGTCACCTGGTCAGTGGAAGCCTCTCCAGCCCTCGGGCGTGCGTAGGCGCGGTCGTCCTCAGTGCGCACGGAGGCCAGTCGTAGCGGTAGTTCCAGGTGAGGTCCACTGGCTCATTTGGGTTTTCAGCCTCCAGAAGCCCTGCAGTGCCTCAAAGCCTGATCCCACGTCTTCCTCTCCTTCACCAGACTCTCATCGGAACACAAGAAACTGAACTTGCTGTCACATCGCTTGTCATTCCATTTGTGATTATGCTTGAACATCACAACACATTTATCATCATTGAGTTTTGGTTGACCTGCAAGAAGTAGAAAAAGTGTTTGACATGATTCACAAACCAGAAACATTTCTTTATTTTTCAGTTTTTGCTTTAACTCAGAGACACTATTGATAGAAAGTGAGGAGAAGGTTGGTGAACATCAGCAGGAGAGGACTCTTTAAAGTAGAGACACTACATACTGATATACACCTGAACATCAGCAGGAGAGGACTCTTTAAAGTAGAGACACTACATACTGATATACACCTGAACATCAGCAGGAGAGGACTCTTTAAAGTAGAGACACTACATACTGATATACACCTGAACATCAGCAGGAGAGGACTCTTTAAAGTAGAGACACTACATACTGATATACACCTGAACATCAGCAGGAGAGGACTCTTTAAAGTAGAGACACTACACACTGATATACACCTGAACATCAGCAGGAGAGAACTCTTTAAAGCAGAGACACTACATACTGATATACACCTGAACATCAGCAGGAGAAGACTCTTTAAAGTAGAGACACTACATACTGATATACACCTGAACATCAGCAGGAGAGGACTCTTTAAAGTAGAGACACTACATACTGATATACACCTGAACATCAGCAGGAGAGAACTCTTTAAAGCAGAGACACTACATACTGATATACACCTGAACATCAGCAGGAGAGAACTCTTTAAAGTAGAGACACTACATACTGATATACACCTGAACATCAGCAAGAGAGGACTCTTTAAAGTAGAGACACTACATACTGATATACACCTGAACATCAGCAGGAGAGGACTCTTTAAAGTAGAGACACTACATACTGATATACACCTGAACATCAGCAGGAGAGGACTCTTTAAAAGCCTAACAGCCTAAAGTTTCGTGCTAGCCAGACTTACCGAATGCCCAGTTGGTGAAGTTGGCGATCTCGTCTGTTTCCGACCATTTCCACTCGGAGTCTTTAGTGTTTTTGAACAAACCGATCCATACGTCATTATGAAACGAACCCTCCAACTCTTCTCCGGCTCTGATGGTGGCCAGATCACTGTGGTGTTCTCTGCAAAAGGTCTGTGCTTCGCTCCATGTCTTCGGTTCATTGTAATATGTAAAGCCAGGTCTCAGAGTAGACCCGCACACGGCAGCAAACAGCAGCAGCAGGACGGAGGCTTTTCTCATCATGGTTTCCACAGACCTGCAGTCACATTTATATTTATATATACTTTGTAGTCTGCAAAAATAACTTTGAACATCCCACCATTATCAGAGCTATGGTTGGGCGGCAGTAGCTCAGTGCGTGTGTGCACCTAAGTATCAGCAGGTTAAACCGTTCATTTTCATATTTCAATATTGATTTACATTTTTTATTTCTGTATGAAAAACCAAGTACTATTTGTTTCGGCTAATACTTTCTGAAGGGAATTGCATTCAATTGTCAATCATGCAAATGTTATTGATGTCAGCTTTGCTTTTATTGAAATGATTGGATTATCGTAATGAAACTGGTATACAAGATATTTTTGACTAAACTAAATCTCAAATTGCAAAATGATTATTTCTATACTACTTTATTTCTTCACATGATTCCTTTTTACTTCTGACTTTCTAGAATAAAAAAAGACATCGACGCCAGCTTTTTCTTAGCTCAGTAAAACGTTATTTTGACATATTGATACGATTAAAACTATCCAAAGTTTTTCAAAAGGCATTTCATCATTTACCTTGGAGATGTAATTACAATGAAACAGTTCGTTAAAGAGTGCTTCAACCTTTGAGTACGACTCTACCACCTCTGCTCTTTATCCAACACTTAAACACCTGACTCTACTGGTAACTGAACTGTAGTGCTGCCCTTCAACCCTCTGCAGTCTGGAAGCAAGACTTCAGTTCAAAGTACAGGGAATAACAAGGAATACAATTCAAATCCAGCACTCACCTTGGATGATGACGGATTGGAAGCCAGCGCTGAGTCTCTGGGTTTTCAGGAGATGATATTTAAAATACTCGATTCACAGACTGGCTGCACCAATCACAGCTCAGATCTAGGCAAATCACAACTAGTGTGCAAAACCCAGCTGACACGCAGAGCGACCGTGACATCCATGGCTTTTTGAATATTCTTTGTCCCTCAGGAAGGTTTCTATTGGAGTTTAATGAGCCGGTAAAGTAAAATATTTAACGGGAAAAGTAAAGGCAGGACAGGAAGTTATCCTTTCAACGCACAACACACACATATACACACACACACACACACACACACACACACACACACACACACACACACACACACACACACACACACACACACACACACACACACACACACACACACACACACACACACACACACACACACACACACACACACACACACACACTTTTGAATACCGCCATACTTCAGCACTACACAAAACATTTCATTTGAAAAACAAATGCACCATCCCACCATGACAAAGATATGGTGCCAGTAGAATTCTGACTTTTTCTTAGAAATCTGACTTTTTTCCAAGAATTCTGTCATTTTGAACAATTCTGACTTTTTCTAACAATTTTGATTTTCTCTTGTAATTATCGGGAGCCTTTCAGATTTCCTCTGCCACTTTCGACCAATCACATAAGTGCATTATTTAAAATCATCATAGTGTTGCATCTGTGCGTTGCTTTGATTTAATAGATGATCTTGGGTAAAAGATCCATGTTCTGTTTCGTATTTAACTATTTACAATAAATCACATTGGAACGTGTCTCTGATTGAAATGGACTTAGTTGATGTGAGCCCCTGGTTTTGACTGTGATTAAAAGTGGGTGTGCACTCTCACCACGTGATCGGTCACAGAACATAGTAGGCTTGTTTGAGACGCATTGCGGCCAAGCGGCAAACTCTAGGGAAGAGCCGGGACGCTAATACGGAAGTGTCTCAAACTGCAGTTCATCTAGTGGCCAGTAGGAGCAGGCTACAGAAGGGAGCAATTTCCATAGACCCCCATGTTAAAATGCCCAACTTTACAGCAGAAATAAACATGTTTACATCGTGGTTCAAAAAACCATATTCTCTGTATAGTTAGATTCCCCCTTCATGAATATGGATTGGGGGGGTGCATTTTTTCTCAACTCATCTGTTTAATTAATATTAAGCCTTAAAGCTGTTGCATAAATTAGGGCGTGGTCACTTTGATGGACATGTACATGCTTCACTGTCAGCTAACAGCAACTTGTCCACTCTGCTAGGCTACAACCATAGAGGCTACAACGTTAGTTAGTCATAGTACTGTACTTGACCCTTTAGCCGTGTTCGTGGTGATCGTGCCTTTTAGGGAATATTGTTACAAATACCAGACAATTAAAATGTTGTACTGTGCGCTTGAATGTACTAACAGAACTTCCAAGAAGTCTAAAATGATAATATTATACATGTTAACCCCGTTCGCAGGTGTTTGTGTGCTTGGTAGCTTAGCTTACTACTTATTAGCCAGCTAAGGACGTAACCCTTTATGCATACATATACATTTTAGTTTATGATTCAGCCTTGGGTAAGACTTTTATAGTCTATGGCTATGACGCCCATAATGCTAAACGGGAGCAAATGTTAATAGGGGACCCAATTATCCCAGTGGTGGCCGCCGGAGCTAACGGAGCCGCAGGGGGCTAGCTCTAGCCGGCGTCCCGGAGCTAGCCCACTGCGGCTCCGTTAGGTCCGGGCGGTGGAGTCCGTCTTTTCTCAACGTGTGAATGACAAGCATCAAGAATAACAAAATATAGCTAATTCTCTTGCAGATTGTCTCATTTGATTATGAATGTAACGTTTATATAGGGGAACTACACTGTTTGCAGTAACTTGGTATGCATGTATTTCATGTTAGCTTAGCTTCTTAGCCTGAGCTAGCTCTGTTTACTTCCAGTTCGGAGGCAGCAAGTCCCGCCTCGGCTTCGCCTCTTTGCCCTTATTTGGAGCAGGCGGGATTAGACTCTGACGTCACAGTCGAGCCGTTAGTGGCCGACTCCGCCTACTAAGGGCTTCACGGCAACTCTTCAGAATCCTATGGGTGACGTCACGGACCCTACGTCCAATTATATATACAGTCTATGGTTGCGGCTCGCCTCGAAAGTAGACGAGAATAGTCGATCGCAGCCGGGGGAGGTCTCAAAAAGCTCGCCTGAAGTCGGACAGGTCCGAGTCTTCTTCTTCTTCTTCTTCTTCTTCTTCTTCTTCTTCTTCTTCTTCTTCTTCTTCTTCTTCTTCTTCTTCTTCTTTTTTGGCGGATTGCAAACAACTTTTACCTCATTCACACCAACGCAACTCCGGTTCAAGCTCCGTGCTAGAGCTTTTCAGGTTCAGAACCAGTTCTTCGGTTTAGCTCTGGCTCTTTTCACACCGCCCAGAGTCCGACTGGTGCTGCGTGTTGCGTCATCGTTTGCGTCATGACGTAACCGTTTGCGTGCCTGCTTCATAAAGCCAAACCGCACGGATGAAATCAGTTGCATTCATTTCTTATGGCTCTATCTGCAGCTTTTCCGGAGTCATTTCTGTGGTTTAGTTATATTCTTATAAACAAGTGTACTCGTGTCAATAAAGGTTTTTTAAAAACACAACTGCTTCCGAGGTCGGTCTTATTTCTTAAGGTGGATTGAACCATGAGTGTGGAGTAACGTTGTATCTTTCATTTAAATGAACTGTAACCTTCACCCAGGTATGTAACAGCTGTTCTCAAATGAACACGTGAAGTAAAGTTTAATATTTATAGTTTTATAGATTTATAATGAGTTATAATGAGAGGTGATCAACGTGAATGCTCAGGTTCCACCTTAGCACGCAGACACGTTGCTTCACCATGAGCAGAAACCTTTATATATACAGTCTATGGCAGAAACACTGAAACTCTTAAGTTTCTCCATCGTTGTACAAACTGGATAAAACGCGAGCTTTTTGTTGTTCAGGAGTTGATCTGTCTCTGCCCCCGCCTCGACGTAAGCGTGATGTATGTGGTGCTTTTGCTCGGGCCGGACAATTTGTTGGTGCTTGAAACGAACCGGATTCCGGAGCTAAGAGGCGGCTGCGGTGTGAAGAGGAAACCCCGGTGCTTTTCAAGCTCCAGCTCCGAACCGGCCCTAAACAACGTTGGTGTGAATGAGGTATCTAAGGTGCATACCGCCACCTCCGGAGTCGGCTTGACTCGGTTTGCATTTATAAAGAATGCACACATGTTTAATCGTTAATGTCAGATATGTACTAAGTAAATACATTTGTTCCTGCTCCAGATTAGATTCAACTTTATTGTTATTGCACAGATTACAGGTACTGAGACAACGAAATGCAGTTTAGCTTCTAACCAGGTGCAACAAGCAGTGAAGTGAAAAGTAATGTACACAATCTACAGAATAACATATAGAATGAATTGAATGATGAATAAACAGTGAGGGGTATGAATACACTAGATATCAGCCTGTGAGCAGTATGAACAGTGTGTATGAATACACTAGATATCAGCCTGTGAGCAGTATGAACAGTGTGTATTAATACACTAGATATATAAAGTATGAAACGGTAAGCAGTGCAAGTATAGTATCAAATATATAGATATTAATTTCATGATGATAAACATTGTGGAACAATGATGAAAAATGGGAATGGAAGTGGCGACGTAAAACTGACACAAAACAACAACAAACTTTAGCCGAGCCAATGGGAGAGCTTCATCAGCAGCACGGGGTAAAAACCACCAATGAGTGCTCAGCTCGAGATACCAGCGAGTCGTTTCCCATCAAGCATTTCGCTTCCGCAGCCCGTGGAGAGGAACTGCGCCGCCTCGCCGCGCCTCGCTCTCAAGGCTGCGGGCGTCTTTGTCCCGCGAGATTTCAACGTCTCATGTAGGCGAGCCTCCAGAGCAAGTCGGACAAAATGACTAACCATCATGCAACGCACGAGCAAGACGTTGATCGCAACTGCGCAGGTAGCAACCATGGTGGAAAAGCTGATAACAACAGTGTGCAAAGTTTAACGCGATCAAGTCATATTACAGGAGAAAGGAAATACAGTTTACACTGCCGTTGTAGTTCAAATCAGCGACTGTGTGAACGTGAACATGAATAGAATATCACCTCCATCTTCAGAGCAATCTGACTATTATAACATTAGCGTTAAGAAAGCTTACTGAAATATCTGCCACAACACAAGTAACCGGATCAGAGTCACATTAGGGAGAGTGGGGTAAGTTGAGCCATTTTTTACTTATGCTGTCCTCTAAGCAAGGAGAAATGACACATAGTAAAAATGAAAACACACACCTATAATTCAGGATGTCTCCTATCAATGGCAAGGATAATAATTCATATTTGATCAAGGCAGTACAAATATTACTTCTAAAAAAAAGTTAAAATTCAGAGTCATCTTTAGCTTAATGATTCACATGGTGTAATACGTTGCCAATACATCAACATATACAATATATGTGTTTAAACCTGGATACTTTTTTTTTGACATGACAGCCGATAAGCTGACATCTAGAAATTTACTTTGACAAGCAAAAAACGTTTTTTTGTAAACCTTTGTAGTTACTAGAACACAATGAGGATCTCTCTTTCACAGGCAATGAGAAATGGGTGGAGCTTGCATACTTTCTGGTCACTTGATTACAACTATAGGGCGTTGCCTGGTTACAGGGGGTGGTTCAACTAACCCACTGGTTCAACTAACCCACTGGTTCAACTAACCCACTGGTTCAACTTACCCACTGGTTCAACTTACCCACTGGCTCAACTAACCCACTGGTTCAACTAACCCACTGGTTCAACTTACCCACTGGCTCAACTAACCCACTGGTTCAACTAACCCACTGGTTCAACTAACCCACTGGTTCAACTAACCCACTGGCTCAACTAACCCACTGGCTCAACTAACCCACTGGCTCAACTGACCCACTGGTTCAACTAACCCACTGGTTTCAACTTACCCCCTGGTTCAACTAACCCACTGGTTCAACTAACCCACTGGCTCAACTAACCCACTGGTTCAACTAACCCACTGGCTCAACTAACCCACTGGTTCAACTTACCCACTGGCTCAACTAACCCACTGGCTCAACTAACCCACTGGCTCAACTAACCCACTGGTTCAACTAACCCACTGGCTCAACTAACCCACTGGTTCAACTTACCCACTGGCTCAACTAACCCACTGGCTCAACTAACCCACTGGTTCAACTAACCACTGGTTCAACTAACCCACTGGCTCAACTAACCCACTGGTCCAACTTTCCACAGGCCACAATCAACAACCTGATCAACTCTATGCGAAGGAGATGTGTTGCACTGCGTGAGGCAAATGGTGGTCACACCAGATACTGACTGGTTCTCGGACCCCCCCAGACCCCCCCCAATAAAGCAGAACTGCACGTTTCAGAGTGGCCTTTTATTGTGGCCAGCCTAAGGCACACCTGTGCAATAATCATGCTGTCTAATCAGCATCTTGATATGCCACACCTGTGAGGTGGGATGGATTATCTCGGCAAAGGAGAAGTGCTCACTATCACAGACTTTTTCAGATTTGTGAACAATATTTGAGAGAAATGGTTATTTTGTGTTTATAGAAAATGTTTTAGATCTTTGAGTTCATCTCATGAAGAATGGGAGCAAAAACAAAAGTGTTGCGTTTATATTTTTGTTCAGCGTATGTTTTGGATTAGGCCAACCGGCTAACCAGGGTCGGCGTCATGGTGGGTCATTCGCGGGCCATGCCCCCCCAAATGAGTCACTGTGCCCCCCCGCAGGGTGGGCAAGCCTAGCCACTTTGCCGTTTTAAAAAAAAAAATCATATAAGTGAAAACGTTTCCACTAAAGGTTTTTTGTGTGAAATACGTCAGAAATAAAGAATACAAATATAAAACACAGCCTGAGGTGTGCTCACTGCTGCTCTCTGATTGGTGTGTTGCTTGACCAATGACCCCCGACCTTTGTTTTGTTATCATTACGTGGCTGTGTGTTTAGATGAAAGCCCGGTGGCGATCTGTCCATCTGTTATACTGATTATACAGTAAAGCCATCGAAAATAATATGATATACAGTACAGTACAAGTAGCCTACTTCTGGGTCTCTGTGTTTCATTCAAGCTCGGCTCTGTGTGTGTGTGGCACGAGCGCATTTTGTGAGTGCGCGAGCGGTAACGTGGAATGTTGATGTTAGCATCTGGTTAGCTCGCTATGCTAACGGATATAAAGAGCTGTTTCTACACCAAGGTGGAGGAGAGTCCTCTCCTGTCAGACTGAGAGGATCGTATAACCTCAGCCCAGTGAGGTAAGGACTCTCTCAGTGTTTAGATAGTTCACTTTAGTGTAAGTTATCTCAGTGGGTCTCAAACGGGTTGGTCACCATTTATGTAAACAAGTATTTGCGAGGAATACCTTTATATGATCATTATAGTTATTAAAGAATAAGAGAATACATTAAAAACGGGTATGAAATACTATAGGACAGTAACACAAGAATACAGTTTAAAAGGGGAGTGATTAGTAAAATATCCATAAAGAAAAAGTAAATCTGCTTCCAGTTCTGTTTCATATGGATGTTGAGAGATGTATCCATAGATCTCTTCATGTTGCTCTCAAAGTGCACCAGATTGATGCATTTAACTTCAATATTTAAAAAATAATCTTCCCGGGGGAGCATGCCCCCAGACCCTCCTAGAGGAGGTTAGATCCACCCCCACCTAAAACATGTTCACATGGATAGGATACTAAATACATTTGCACCCTTTTTGTATGGTGGCCTATGTCCTTATATGTTTCTGTTTTGGTGGTCGTGCCACAACCGTGCATGTATGCACAGGTCATAGGTGCGCTATACAATAGCACTACACTCTGCAATGTGTGTGAAAGACAATAGACTTTACAGCATGTTTTTTGAAGTTGCGTTGGTGTTTGTGTGTTGGTTGTTGACGGCAGTGTGTGCCCCCCCTTTGTAAATGATTTCCCCCCCATTCGATTTGTTCTAGAGCCGACCCTGCGGCTAACTCAAACATATCCAGGTTAGGTTGAACCGGCTTCGTCGTACAGGCCTCTGGTTTCACCTCTAAAGACAGTCTAGTGTTACAGGACAACACACAGCATATTTGCATTCATTCATTTTGTATTCAAAGTGAAACATGAGGTTCAGTCCAGGCCTCAGTAGATTGAAGTCTTTGAGGAAACTATTATTTAATGAGAGTCCTCATCCTACGACTCATTCAAGCACAGTGTTCAAAAGTGGCTCATTGAAAACCAACAGTGTCAGCACTGATGTGTGTGTGTGTGTGTGTGTGTGTGTGTGTGTGTAGGGTGACACACACACACACACACACACACACACACACACACACACACACACACACACACACACACACACACACACACACACACACACACACACACACACACACACACACACACACACACACACACAACACAACACAACCACACACACACACCACACACACCACACTTTTGAATACCGCCATACTTCAGCACTACACAAAACATTTCATTTGAAAAACAAATGCACCATCCCACCATGACAAAGATATTGGTGCCAGTAGAATTCTGACTTTTTCTTAGAAATCTGACTTTTTTCCAAGAATTCTGTCATTTTGAACAATTCTGACTTTTTCTAACAATTTTGATTTTTCTCTTGTAATTATCGGGAGCCTTTCAGATTTCCTCTGCCACTTTCGACCAATCACATAAGTGCATTATTTAAAATCATCATAGTGTTGCATCTGTGCGTTGCTTTGATTTAATAGATGATCTTGGGTAAAAGATCCATGTTCTGTTTCGTATTTAACTATTTACAATAAATCACATTGGAACGTGTCTCTGATTGAAATGGACTTAGTTGATGTGAGCCCCCTGGTTTTGACTGTGATTAAAAGTGGGTGTGCACTCTCACCACGTGATCGGTCACAGAACATAGTAGGCTTGTTTGAGACGCATTGCGGCCAAGCGGCAAACTCTAGGGAAGAGCCGGGACGCTAATACGGAAGTGTCTCAAACTGCAGTTCATCTAGTGGCCAGTAGGAGCAGGCTACAGAAGGGAGCAATTTCCATAGACCCCCATGTTAAAATGCCCAACTTTACAGCAGAAATAAACATGTTTACATCGTGGTTCAAAAAACCATATTCTCTGTATAGTTAGATTCCCCCTTCATGAATATGGATTGGGGGGGTGCATTTTTTCTCAACTCATCTGTTTAATTAATATTAAGCCTTAAAGCTGTTGCATAAATTAGGGCGTGGTCACTTTGATGGACATGTACATGCTTCACTGTCAGCTAACAGCAACTTGTCCACTCTGCTAGGCTACAACCATAGAGGCTACAACGTTAGTTAGTCATAGTACTGTACTTGACCCTTTAGCCGTGTTCGTGGTGATCGTGCCTTTTAGGGAATATTGTTACAAATACCAGACAATTAAAATGTTGTACTGTGCGCTTGAATGTACTAACAGAACTTCCAAGAAGTCTAAAATGATAATATTATACATGTTAACCCCGTTCGCAGGTGTTTGTGTGCTTGGTAGCTTAGCTTACTACTTATTAGCCAGCTAAGGACGTAACCCTTTATGCATACATATACATTTTAGTTTATGATTCAGCCTTGGGTAAGACTTTTATAGTCTATGGCTATGACGCCCATAATGCTAAACGGGAGCAAATGTTAATAGGGGACCCAATTATCCCAGTGGTGGCCGCCGGAGCTAACGGAGCCGCAGGGGGCTAGCTCTAGCCGGCGTCACACACACACACACACACACACACACACACACACACACACACACACACACACACACACACACACACACACACACACACACACACACACACACACACACACACACACACACACACACACACACACACACACACACACACACACACACACACACACACACACACACACACACACACACACACACACACACACACACACACACCAGGTTTACTCAACATTGAGAAACGGCCAAAATATCGGGAATTGAGAGAAAGACAATATATGTTAAGGAAGGTGAATTTACTGTTTTTATTTTTATCCGAACCTAAACAGTACCAACGGGTTAAACATCAACATAACACATTGGTTAATATATAATATATTTTTATATTACAATGAGAACAATGTTCAACAATGGTCCGTCTCTCTAAGAACGTCATTGATATCACAATTGCAATATTCGTCAAAATCATCGCAATAACTTACGGTAACATGAGAAGGGGGGTATTGTATTTTGCTGCATGCATGATTATTGACTCAGGTGACAAACAGTGATAACGTACAAATACATGATATTCAATGTTTAAATTGGACCTCATTTAAATTCACTTTTGAAATAGGTTGTTTATAGATTAGATTGAGCTGCTCAGCAAAGTGTATATTCCTGCTCTCTGATGAGAACTTGAGGAACCTGCAGTGCTTGTGTCAGTGACTTTTCCCCACTGAGGAAAATGTTGATGAGCTGATTATATGCAGCTGCGGAGTGAAATAACTTGCACTGAGCTTCATGGGTAGGCCTGGGGCTGGGATGTGGGGAAAGTTAGGTGTAGGCCTTGGTTCCAGATGGCTGAGGAGTTGGATCGGGAGTTGGATGTTGGATCGGGAGTTGGATGTTGGATCGGGAGTTGGATCAGGAGTTGGATCAGGAGTTGGATCAGGAGTTGGATCGGGAGTTGCATCGGGAGTTGGATCAGGAGTTGGATGTTGGATCGGGAGTTGGATCAGGAGTTGGATCAGGAGTTGGATGTTGGATCAGGGGTTGGATCGGGAGTTGGATGTTGGATCGGGAGTTGGATCGGGAGTTGGATCAGGAGTTGGATGTTGGATCAGGGGTTGGATCGGGAGTTGGATCAGGAGTTGGATCGGGAGTTGGATGTTGGATCAGGAGTTGGACCGGGAGTTGGATCAGGAGTTGGATGTTGGATCAGGGGTTGGACCTGGAGTTGGATCAGGAGTTGGATCGGGAGATGGATCGGGAGTTGGATCAGGAGTTGGATCGGGAGTTGGATGTTGGATCGGGAGTTGGATGTTGGATCAGGAGTTGGATCGGGCGTTGGATCAGGAGTTGGATCGGGAGTTGGATGTTGGATCAGGAGTTGGATCGGGCGTTGGATCAGGAGTTGGATCGGGAGTTGGATGTTGGATCAGGAGTTGGATCGGGAGTTGGATGTTGGATCAGGAGTTGATCAGGAGTTGGATCAGGAGTTGGATCGGGAGTTGGATCGGGAGTTGATCAGGAGTTGGATGTTGGATCAGGAGTTGATCAGGGGTTGGATCAGGAGTTGGATCGGGAGTTGGATGTTGGATCAGGGGTTGAATCAGGAGTTGGATAGGGAGTTGGATCGGGAGTTGGATCGGGAGTTGGATGTTGGATCAGGAGTTGGATCGGGAGTTGGATGTTGGATCAGGGGTTGAATCAGGAGTTGGATCGGGAGTTGGATGTTGGATCAGGAGTTGGATCGGGAGTTGGATGTTGGATCAGGGGTTGAATCAGGAGTTGGATAGGGAGTTGGATCGGGAGTTGGATCAGGAGTTGGATCGGGAGTTGATCAGGAGTTGGATGTTGGATAAGGAGTTGGATCGGGAGTTGGATGTTGGATCAGGAGTTGGATCAGTGGTTGGATGTTGGATCAGGAGTTGGATCGGGAGTTGATCAGGAGTTGGATGTTGGATGAGGAGTTGATCAGGGGTTGGATGTTGGATCAGGAGTTGGATGATGGATCAGGAGTTGATTAGGAGTTGGATCAGTGGTTGAATGTTGGATCAGGAGTTGGATCGGGAGTTGATCAGGAGTTGGATGTTGGATGAGGAGTTGGATCAGGAGTTGGATGTTGGATCAGGAGTTGATCAGGAGTTGGATGTTGGATCAGGAGTTGATCAGGAGTTGGATCAGGGGTTGATCAGGAGTTGATCAGGGGTTGGATCAGGAGTTGGATGTTGGATCAGGAGTTGATTAGGAGTTGATCAGGGGTTGGATCAGGAGTTGGATGTTGGATCAGGAGTTGATTAGGAGTTGATCAGGGGTTGATCAGGAGTTGATCAGGGGTTGGATCAGGAGTTGGCTCCGGTGCGAGGCCCTCTCATGATGTGGACTCTGGCCTCGTCGTCCAGCTCCTCCAGGACTCGCCCCTGTTTGACGGACAGGATGGTGTAGCTGACTGAACAGCTGCAGGTCAAAGAAAAGCAACAGCAGCTGCATCCTTAAGAACCACAACATTCCATTATCCCGGGGAAATGGAAATGTCAAAAATATGCATAACAGTCCAGCAGATATGGGAACGAATGGTGCTTTTGATGATAAAACCATGACACACTGTTAGAGCATGCCCGAAGGAAGATATTGGCTATAGGGCCATCGCATATTTGTCCAATGGCACCAATTTTGAAAATGTCTGCTATTGGCTGTTATTTTACCGGTAGCTTAGGATCTAGACGACCTAGGGTGTTGATTCTGATGGATAATCATACAGACTAAATGAAATAATAATAATATAAGCGGTTAAAATAGAAATGTGCTATGAGTAGAGATAATGCAATACAAATATTTATGGTATACTGAAAAAACTGAAACGTTGACTTTAATTAAATGTATTGTGTAAACACATTTCACATATTAGGTTAGTGGAAGGCAATAATATTAAGTTGAACTTAATACTTTTTATTTAAATGTAATATTATTGCTTTGAACTAACTAATACAGTTACGTGGAATCTGTTGACATAATACATTTGATTAAAGTCAACGTTTCAGTTTTTTCAGTGTAACATGAGAATGTAAAGTTAAAATGTACAATTAAAGATAAGTTACATAAAAAAATGGTTATATTTCAATATGAAGTGGTGTGTAAAGATATTAGGGGTGCTGAAACCAGATTAGTGCTGCAGTGTAATACAGTCGCATAACTAACTGTTTAACAGCCTAAGTGCTATCAGTATTGCACACTTTAGGTATTTAGATTCATATTCTCAACAATACATGATGATGATGATGATGATGATGATGATGATGAATCATTTGACATATATTTACTTACATGTATCTGAGGTATGAGCTTTATTTTCTAAAGGTAAAGCGAAAGGTTTCCTGATAAGAGCAAAGTGGTTTTCTATCGTCTGTTGTCTTCATGATGGATTGAGAGTTAAACATTTGGTAGTATTTTTAGGAATGTCTGCTAATAATCGGTGTCAACTAATCCCATTCAAACACCAACAAGTGTGACTGACTGAAGTGAGGATTAAGTGGGGCGCGTTTCTATATCTGCAGGGGAGATTAATGGTCATTTAATCTGTTGAAAGTATGAAATAAAGAATTGTAATCTTTCTTATCCTTTCAAATAAAACTAAGAATACCTGCTTTTTATTCGTTTACTACGACGCATCAAGTATTATTTTAACAACTTTCAATTTCAGTTGTTTATATACTAAGGCTTTAAAATGCTAAACTATGCCGTTTACAAATCAATATTTAAATAACATTTCAACAAAATGCCTGTTACTCCATTTACACTGCAGAGGCCATATGCATTATTACATCGGCTCTGGCGCCCTCTGGTGGCAAACAGTGATACTGTAGAAATACATGACAACTTTAGTTTAAATTGGACCAAATACACATTAATTAAAGTTTATTATTGATTAGATTGAGCTGCTCAGCAAATTGAACATGTTAACATTCCTGGTGTCTGGTGATTCAAGACTTTTCTACTTTTACTTGAGGAACATTTTGAATACAAGACTTTTACTGAAACAGAGTATTCCTACACTCTGGTACTTCTACTTTTACTCAAGTACAAGATCTGAGTACTTCTCCTTTTACTGAAGTACAATATCTGAGTACTTCTCCTTTTACTCAAGTACCAGATCTGAGTACTTCTCCTTTTACTGAAGTACAAGATCTGAGTACTTCTCCTTTTACTCAAGTACCAGATCTGAGTACTTCTACAACCTTTCCCTAAAACACTCAGGTATAGTGCTTCACAGTTGTACTTCAGTGCAGTAGTTTGCAATACACTTATCTAGGGGGGGATATTGCATTTTGCTTCATGCATTATTATTGACATGGGCTCTGGCGCCCTCTGGTGACAAACAGTGACAATGCAAAAATACATGATATTTAATGTTTACATTTGACCAAATTTACATTTAAATTCACCTAATTTTGTTTAAATAACTTGTTTATAGATACAATTGAGCTGCGCAGCAAAGTGTATATTCCTGCTCTCTGGTGAGCACGTGAGGAACCTGCAGTGCTTTGGTTAGTTACTTTGCACTCCTGGAAAAACATCACTATAATAGTAAAACCACGGAAAATGTAGTATTTGAGTATACACCCTAAAACACTCGGGTAAAGTACTTCTCAGTTGTACTTCAGTGCAGTACTTGTTAGTGACTTTGCCCCACTGAAGGATACACATGCCGACAACAAACGCGCCTATCAGCAGGCCGGTGCCCAGGTTCCTTGTGCGCAGGCGCGCTGCGTTCCTCTTCCAGTAGTCCAGCTCCTGTTTGCGGCGAGGCAGCTGCTTCTCTCCCGACGATGGTGAGGCTTTAGCGGACTCTTCTGCTCCTTTCTCCGACATGACCGGTTGGATAATCAGCTGCTGGAGTCACAGCTCTCACCGGAAGGGAAATGGTCTTCTTCAGGCTCTGTTCAGGCACACTTTAGTGCGTTGCTGCCTCTTGTGGTGCAACACACACACACACACACACACACACACACACACACACACACACACACACACACACACACACACACACACACACATCACACACACACACACACACACACACACACACACACACACACACACACACACACACACACACACACACACACACACACACACACACACACAAACACACACACACACACACACACACACACACACACACACACACACACACACACACACACACACACACACACACACACACACACACACCACACACACACACACACACACACACACACACACACACACCACACACACACACACACACACACACACACACACACACACAACCACACACACACACTTCTTTTTAGATAACACATTTATGAGAAGAAAAGTCAAAACTTCTGAGAAAACGGTCAAAACTTGGAGGAACAAATGGTAATAATAAATTCCATTGATAAATTGAATTTGAATGTTTACTGATGTCACTGTCCCTTGTTTTAAAATGTAAGGCGAGACACCCCAGGTGAATAGGGTAATTTTGTTAACTTAAAGGTATCAGCTAGACATTTCTCCAGTTAATTACTTACAATAAGGCAATTGTTTTTTGTATAACAAGTTTCTGAAATAGCATGTTTAAATATGCAAATTATCCATGATCTCATTAAATATGCACATATTTTAACACATTTCAGGAATCGAAATCTGAACTTTGGATAAAGCCAGATTCAAAATTCTTGTTTCATTTTGTAGTCATATTATAATCTAAGGCTTTTACTGAAGGGATTTTGGATATCTCTTTTTATCACTCCATAAATCAGAAAATACTGTCAACAGCCCTAAAATATCCATTTTCGCCATGTTTTTAGGTATACAATGTTGTATAATTCAGGCTATGAATGATATATGAACAAACCCTTCTGTAAAAGCCTTCATAATATTGATAGGAATATAACTGGAAGGTTTAGTGTATCTACGTGCTACTGAAGTTCAAATTTCGAACTCAGAGTAGGAGAAAAAACTCATTTTGAGAAAAGGACCTTTAAAGATTGCAGTGAGGCGCTAGCTAAACTATCCTGTTCTTTGGATGACAGCTTGCGCCTCGACGCACTCCGTGAATGTATTTCATGTTCAGGGTCATTTGTGTTTTGTATAACCTTGCTTCGTGCAAGTGACAATTGTTGGCGTCTTCTCTGTGAACGTTTTTTTCGCCGTTCTTTTGCCATTTTGAGATTTCAATTTCTAGCGGAAAGCTAACCAGGAAGTGTTTTAGCACTCCACGTGACGCATCTGAACGAATCACGTTGTCAGAAATTGACACCAGCCAATGAGATTTCGTTTCTTGGTTTAAGACCCCTTTGTGCTTTCACGATTGGTTGCTGATACAAAGGAAATGACCATATTTAGCTTTTCCAGCGATACCTCTGTTGACATGGTGCACACAGCGGTCGCGGTACTTTATGTTACGTTAGAATGCTAACTTTTGGTGAATTTAGGAGAAATCTACAGACGCAAATAGACAAACTATAGTAACATAAACACTTAAATGTGTATTTTGTACGTTTTCCTTCCAAAAGCCTGAAAGAAAACATGTTATCGAATCAAAATAGCACAACATCTCAAAATTGACCAGTAGGCTACTGCCGTGTCTCGCCTTAAAACAAGAGACAGTGTACATCAATAAACATATTAAAAACATGTAGATGTGCTGGAATGAGCCAAAAGGCTAGTTCTCCCCGATGGTCCCTTTCCAGATGGATTCTACAAGAATACAAACACCACCACATTGTTACAAGAGACGACATCACTGAATACAGGTGAGGAGCAAGTCATGATAATAAAGACAACATTCACAATACGCACACACTCACACACACACATCAGTGCTGACACTGTTGGTTTTCAATGAGCCACTTTTGAACACTGTGCTTGAATGAGTCGTAGGATGAGGACTCTCATTAAATAATAGTTTCCTCAAAGACTTCAATCTACTGAGGCCTGGACTGAACCTCATGTTTCACTTTGAATACAAAATGAATGAATGCAAATATGCTGTGTGTTGTCCTGTAACACTAGACTGTCTTTAGAGGTGAAACCAGAGGCCTGTACGACGAAGCCGGTTCAACCTAACCTGGATATGTTTGAGTTAGCCGGTTGGCCTAATCCAAAACATACGCTGAACAAAAATATAAACGCAACACTTTTGCTCCCATTCTTCATGAGATGAACTCAAAGATCTAAAACATTTTCTATAAACACAAAATAACCATTTCTCTCAAATATTGTTCACAAATCTGAAAAAGTCTGTGATAGTGAGCACTTCTCCTTTGCCGAGATAATCCATCCCACCTCACAGGTGTGGCATATCAAGATGCTGATTAGACAGCATGATTATTGCACAGGTGTGCCTTAGGCTGGCCACAATAAAAGGCCACTCTGAAACGTGCACTTTTGCTTTATTGGGGGGGTCTGGGGGGGGTCCGAAAACCAGTCAGTATCTGGTGTGACCACCATTTGCCTCACGCAGTGCAACACATCTCCTTCGCATAGAGTTGATCAGGTTGTTGATTGTGGCCTGTGGAAAGTTGGACCAGTGGGTTAGTTGAGCCAGTGGGTTAGTTGAACCAGTGGGTTAGTTGAGCCAGTGGGTTAGTTGAGCCAGTGGGTAAGTTGAGCCAGTGGGTAAGTTGAGCCAGTGGGTTAGTTGAGCCAGTGGGTTAGTTGAACCAGTGGGTTAGTTGAGCCAGTGGGTTAGTTGAGGCAGTGGGTAAGTTGAGCCAGTGGGTAAGTTGAGCCAGTGGGTTAGTTGAGCCAGTGGGTTAGTTGAGCCAGTGGGTTAGTTGAGCCAGTGGGTTAGTTGAACCAGTGGGTTAGTTGAACCAGTGGGTTAGTTGAGCCAGTGGGTTAGTTGAGGCAGTGGGTAAGTTGAGCCAGTGGGTAAGTTGAGCCAGTGGGTAAGTTGAGCCAGTGGGTTAGTTGAGCCAGTGGGTTAGTTGAACCAGTGGGTTAGTTGAGCCAGTGGGTTAGTTGAGCCAGTGGGTTAGTTGAACCAGTGGGTTAGTTGAACCAGTGGGTTAGTTGAACCAGTGGGTTAGTTGAACCAGTGGGTTAGTTGAACCAGTGGGTTAGTTGAGCCAGTGGGTTAGTTGAGCCAGTGGGTTAGTTGAGCCAGTGGGTTAGTTGAGCCAGTGGGTTAGTTGAGCCAGTGGGTTAGTTGAGCCCGTGGGTAAGTTGAACCAGTGGGTAAGTTGAGCCAGTGGGTTAGTTAAGCCAGTGGGTTAGTTGAACCAGTGGGTTAGTTGAGCCAGTGGGTTAGTTGAGCCAGTGGGTTAGTTGAACCAGTGGGTTAGTTGAGCCAGTGGGTTAGTTGAACCAGTGGGTTAGTTGAGCCAGTGGGTAAGTTGAGCCCGTGGGTTAGTTGAAGCCAGTGGGTTAGTTGAACCAGTGGGTTAGTTGAACCAGTGGGTTAGTTGAGCCAGTGGGTTAGTTGAGCCAGTGGGTTAGTTTGAGCCAGTGGGTTAGTTGAGCCCGTGGGTTAGTTGAGCCGGTGGGTTAGTTGAACCAGTGGGTTAGTTGAACCAGTGGGTTAGTTGAACCAGTGGGTTAGTTGAACCAGTGGGTTAGTTGAACCAGTGGGTTAGTTGAGCCAGAGGGTCAGTTGAGCCAGTGGGTCAGTTGAACCAGTGGGTCAGTTGAGCCAGTGGGTCAGTTGAGCCAGTGGGTCAGTTGAGCCAGTGGGTAAGTTGAACCAGTGGGTTAGTTGAACCAGTGGGTTAGTTGAGCCAGTGGGTTAGTTGAGCCAGTGGGTTAGTTGAACCAGTGGGTTAGTTGAACCAGTGGGTTAGTTGAGCCAGTGGGTTAGTTGAGCCAGTGGGTTAGTTGAGCCAGTGGGTAAGTTGAACCAGTGGGTAAGTTGAACCAGTGGGTAAGTTGAACCAGTGGGTAAGTTGAACCAGTGGGTAAGTTGAACCAGTGGGTTAGTTGAACCACCCCCTGTAACCAGGCAACGCCCTATAGTTGTAATCAAGTGACCAGAAAGTATGCAAGCTCCACCCATTTCTCATTGCCTGTGAAAGAGAGATCCTCATTGTGTTCTAGTAACTACAAAGGTTTACAAAAAAACGTTTTTTTGCTTGTCAAAGTAAATGTTCTAGATGTCAGCTTATCGGCTGTCATGTCAAAAAAAGTATCCAGGTTTAAACACATATATTGTCCCTTTTAAACTTTTTACTATCCTATAATACACATTGGAATGATTTCTTACTTTATTTTTTACAACTTTATTAAATCCTCTCTCTCTCTCTCTCGTCACACAAAGATACTGCACACTTATGTTATTGATTTATACAATCATCTGGCAACGAGGGAAATCAAACTGTAGGGAATGTGACGTCATCAACCGCAAGTCGTCCATCTTTGGAGGCTACCAGCAGCCGGTGGAATAGTGACAAATTACTTCTTAACTAGACCCTTCAGAAAAACGCGATTCTGCGATCGCAGAATTTACCGCATAATCAGCAAAATGGCGCAGATTTTTTAAAAGGCCGCATATTTATCAAAAGGCGCATAATCCCCGCATTTTCCCACACAAAGTTGAGGGGAAAAAAAAGTTAACTCGTCTTGACGTGATGATGATGATGATGACGGGACGTCATCAGCTCGCGCATCACAGAAGGTAAACAACACCGTAGAGTGAACGTGTGGAGCTCACACGAGAGAGAAAACACCAAGATGAAAACTCTAATCCATCTAATTTACCGACGAACATTTCTGCTAAAGACCGGGCAAAGCAGTTCCCCGATGTCTTATGAAACTATTCTGCACCCCGTGCAACTGTGTGTTGGAGGCTTGGAGCATAAGAGAACATCGACGGTGACGACCCACTTTGATTCATTCAAACATTCGAAAATGCTTTCTGCTGCTGCGGACAAGAAAGCCAAACAACTCACGTTCACCGAGGCATCGACCTCCAAAACCCTTTCGAGGGCTACAAGAAACGAGGTGAGCAGCCTACAAGATTGAAGCTGGTCAGATAACGAACATGAAATGAAATGAAAACAGAATGAGGCGGAGAAGTGTGTGTGTGTGTGTGTGTGTGTGTGTGAGAAAGAGAGAGAGTGTGATTAAAATAGCCCAATTGCTTTAACAATAAATAAACATTGAATGTGTTTAATTGTATAGTAAAAGGGATTTAACGTTAGTGGCAGGTTGTGTGTGAGAGAGAATAAATAAATAAGACATCCCAATATTTATTTTTCCCGCATATTTAGCAACTTTCCGCAATTTCACCGCATAAAATCACATAAAACCGCATGTTTGATCGCATAATCAAGGATTTTTGCCCGCGTTTTTCTGGAGGGTCTACTTAACGTTTTAAACATGGTCGGTAGGCACTGTGACGTCACTGGCTGTAACAGACACTCCTAGGGCCAACAAAGGAAGGACCATGGGATTATATGGGGAGACGTAGAAGCATCCCCGAGAGACGCTGAATGTGGAGAACTACAGGAATCCACTGCACTGGGAATACGATTGAAAACGGGTAATATCACCCGTATACGTACATATTCTGGGAAAATAATTATGCATGATAAACCCACGTTAGCTGTCTTAACTCAGTCTGGATGACTCTATAGTCAATACACCTGTAGATCGGAAGGCCGCCCTGTTTGTGAACTTGACATGGTCTTCCAGATCTATCAAATCGTACCATTCTCTATAGCCTTTATTTTGGTAAGACAAAAAGTACTGCTACAACTGACACACTGTTTACAGACAGAAACTTAAGTAAAGAAAATATTTCTTGGATCATTGATGTGTTCAATATGAACCATTGTCATTGTATTACACCATACAGGAGAATTATATTTATACATCCTCTTCCTTTATCCTCTGGTCTTCTATCCAAAGAGGAGACACTTCAGGTGGTTTTTAAAGAAGTTAAGCTGCGATCTTGAGTGCCGATCATTATCGCCAGGGTGTCTGAACCTCCCGTAGTGGTTGTTTGCACGTGCTTTCTGATGTCCAATGGACACATGGCCACACGTTGCCACCATCAAGGAGCCAAGGCCATCCATGAAGAACTCTGGAGACAGACATTTTCCATTTAGAAAAAACACAGCTCTATTGTGGACAGCAAACAATGAAAGAGTGGACTTACTGCCACTTGGACCATCTAGACCTACCTGAGTGTGCTACCCTCTTGAGCTTAGGGTCGAATCCCACCCTCTGTGCGGCATCTGTACGAGCCAGGAAGAAGTTGACCACTCCACTGACCAATGAGCATTGTGGGTAACCAGGAAGAGAGTGGTACCTCCCTCTGGACTTCCTGTACATGCAGCCACCTTCCGTTTCGTCTCCTTCCTCATAGATGAGAGAGAAAGAAAACTGGTTTCCTCCTACTTTACCGCCGAGCTGAAAGGAACAGAGAGACAAGAGAACTGCTTATAATCTGACTACCTGCTCATCGTGTACCTGCTTCTTGCCCAGACACATGCTGGAATAAACTTTGTTGACAGATTAACAGTCAATTCATCCTTTTAATTGTATGACCAGATCTCCACATTACACTTTAGTCTCAGAAGGCTTACTGTGTGTACAGCATATAATACCCAAAGACCACGATTCATGATCCAGACTAACTTTAATACTGTCAGGCGAGAGAAAATGATTCCCCAGGTGCCGAGTTAATAACAGAATTGGATATGTGTGCATGCAGACAAAGAGAATACAAGTAGGATTAGAGACATGAAAGTCTGCATAAACATGGCTGAGTCAGCGATAACTTTCGAGGGGTGGAGGTATGCCCATTACTTTGAGTTCGTCCGAAGAATAGACAGGAAGTGACGGTGAGGTGCAAACTGTGTCCAGGCCAGAAGCTGTTATCCACTGCTGGAAACACCACGTGGTCAAACCTCAACAAGCACCTGCAAAGAACACATGCTAAGGTGAAGCTAATAGCTAAGGACCCCCGAACCCAGAGTGAGGATGTTGTGAGTGCGCCGCCGCCGAAGCAGCAACAATTAGAATTTGGAGGAGTGGTAACCAAAGCAGAGATGGACAGGCTTGTAGCATCCTTCATAGTAGAGGAAATGTTGCCCATGTGCACAGTGGAATCACCATCGTTCAGAGATATACTGCGCACAATACAGATATCAGGAGACAGAGGACAGCCACGGTCAGGAGAACATTCAGGAGCTATCTGGATCAGTCTGATGCGACAGCTGAACTAAAGAGAACATTTGAAACTTTAGCAGTCTGCGTGATCTGCCAGTAGGGAGGGGCGGGCCGGCCCTGCGAGTAAAGTAACGAGTAAAGTAACGAGTAAAGTAACGAGTAAAGTAACGAGTAAAGTAACGAGTAAAGTAACGAGTAAAGTAACGAGTAAAGTAACGAGTAAAGTAACGAGTTACTTTATGTAGAGAGTAACGAAGTAGTGTAATATATTACTTTTTAAAACAAAGTAATATGTTACTGTTTTTTTTAGTAACGACCCCATCTCTGGTCCCCACTAACACTAAGAAAGTGGATCACTCCTGTTCTGAAGTCTTTACACTGGTTCCTCACTAACACTAAGAAAGTGGATCACTCCTGTTCTGAAGTCTTTACACTGGTTCCTCACTAACACTAAGAAAGTGGATCACTCCTGTTCTGAAGTCTTTACACTGGCTTCCTGTGTGTCAAAGAATAGATTTCTAAATACTGCTGCTGGTTTATAAAGCACTGAATGGTTTAGGCCCAAAATACATTTCTGACCTCCTGCTAAATGATGAAGCATCCAGATCTCTCAGGTCTTCAGGGACTGGTCAGCTTTCTGTCCCCAGAGTCAGAACTAAACATGGAGAAGCAGCGTTCAGTTATTATGCTCCAAATATCTGGAACAAATCCCAGAAACCTGCAGGTCCGCTGCAACTCTGACTACTTTCAAATCCAGCAAGAAGACTTTTCTTTTTGTCGCTGCTTTTAATTGAACTATTCATATCTTAGACTGCACTGTAACTTTTATCCATGTACCATTCGTTTTATTATCTTTGCTTTTAAATTCCATTTTATAATATGTTTCTTAATGACATTAAAAGCCAGCGGGGGCAAACACAACAATATTGCACAAAACTGTCACACACTCTATATGAAATCTCCTTTTGATAAAAATGTTATGATGGATTATCAGTAATCATTTCAAAGTGACCGACACATTGGATGAACCGTCAGCAGCGTTTATATGCGTTTTAATGCCATTGAACACGACTTTTGATCAGAAAACAGCCAAGGTAAGACATATGCCGTTTTGGCTCCGTAAAGCTACGTTGTGTGTCGTCTGGTTTTGCCTTCACTGCCCTGAGTTCTGGTCGCACAGTGATGATACTTATACCTCTAGAATCTGTGGAATATCAGCTTTAAATTTGATATATTGTTTGTGCAGATCCAATAGGTAATACAATATTTCTACCGTGAGTTATGTAAGTGTGTTGGCATTTTTTCGCTTAGTGCTAATTCAGAGGCTTGGTATTACCCTTGTGTTTTGTTTAGCTAAACATTTTTCATATCGTCAGTTAGCTGAGTTTCTTCCCGTTAAGTGGGTATGACACATGAATAGGTTGTTAAATGTGAAGAAGCCCCGAGACAGTTTCGTGAAAAGAAAGCCGCTGGCGGGGGCTGCCGGGCTTTCACAGGTTCCACAGCTTAACATTTAACAACCTATTAATCTGTCATACCCACTTACGGGAAGATGACAGTTAATGGTCCGGCCCTCAAAACCTCGATAGTGAGTTTTCCTCCCTCGCCGTTAAGCACGATATTGCTATAATTCCTGTGTAAATGGTCAAAAAGTGTTCAAACTTTACATGTGTGCTAACGGTACAGCCCTCAAGATATATACAAGTACCTTGGTGTTCACATAGATAGTACACTCAGCTGGAAGGCGCATGTTGAAGGTCTGTGCTCTAGACTTCAACAGCGGTTCTACTTTCTGCGTCGACTCTTGGCTTTCGGAGTCGACCAGAAGTTCATGTTACTGTTCTATCATGCAGTGTTGGAGAGCATCATGAGGTATTACTGCCTGGTATGGTAACTTGACAGTGCAGTCAAAGTCACAGATCGCTCGCCTGGTACAGACTGCTATGAAAATTATGGGGGTTAAAAAACACCCATCTCTCCAAAACATATACGAGCAGTCCGTTATCAGACAGGCAAACAAAATGGTGTCTGATCCCACCCACATACTCCACCCAGAATTCCAGCTCCTACCTTCTGGTAGAAGATTCAGGGTTCCCAAGAGCAGGCTGAACCGTTATAAGCACTCATTCCTACCTATGTCCATTAAGCTTCTTAACATTCACATGAAATGTAGTCAAATGTAATGAAATGTACTTTTTAAATGTTGGCCATGAGGGGTTGTGCAATAGGTCGCCATTGTCAGTATGTGCGTCTGTGTATTGTGTTTGTTCAAATGGTGTATGACTGAAATGTGTATGTCTCTTAATGTCCTCTATGTTTGTATATGTACATGTATGCTGAACTGCAGGGCGGAGTCCAGAACAAATGAGATTTCGTCAAATGCCGTCATGGTAACAACATGGTCACCAGGAAACACAGTTCTCATAACTCTATTGAACATCTTCCAAACGGCCCAAAACTTCCCAGGTTTGATAACGATACAGCCCACAACACATCTAGGCATATTATAGGGTGTCCTCAAATGCCGTTGCCACGGCGACAGATCACTCGCCATCAAACACAATGTTTATGATACTGCTGTAACTGTACTTTGTCCGATCGGCCTGAAACTTCCCAGGTTTGCCAACGGCCGAGTCCTCGAGACACTTGCGTGACACGTCAACGTGCGGACAACAGCCTGCGGACTTTTGAAGACCCGCTCAACGCTGCATGCTTGCAGCTTTAATTATTCTTGTATTTATATCCATCATATTTTTTTTATTAATGTGCTATATAAATAAACTTGCCGTGTCTTGCTTTGACTTACCACGTCGAGTTCAGGGTTCGCCTCCATCACTCTCACCATCTCTTCGATTTTCGTCAACTCTGTAAACAGGAAGTCATCGTCCACCCACAGGAAGTACTTGGTGGTGACCTGGGAGACCGCCAGGTTCCTGCCAGCAAACCAGCCCTGATGGAGGAAAATATCATTCATGATTGGACCATCGTTGTTAGTTATTAACTGGAAAGTAGAGACTGTTTTGAGATGGGAGAAAGTAAGCGCCCAGTGGCCCTTTTCCAAAATCTGACCTCCTTAACATGCAGAGTTATTGCAAAGTTGCGAGATGATAAATCGGTCCAGTTGAGGTCAAACGGGTTGCCTATTGCCCCCCCCCTTGTTGACTCACTGCCTTTCTGTTTTCTAAGTTCAAATTCCATGTAATGCTCATTTGTCTTGTATAGTGTCACTTTGAAATGTACCTGTGCTGGAGGCATGATGAAATGTTGGATGTGATCTCCAGTAATCTTCTCTGTTACAAAGCTGTCATCTGCGATGATAACTTCCATGTCTTTATAGAACTGCCGGATGCTTTTCAACAACAGATTGAGTTCTGGGTAGCGCAGGAACGTCTTTGTGGTGATGGTGACTTGAGAGTTGATATCTGACATAGAGAGAAGAGTTATTTCAAGAAAAGACACATGAAGACATCATGACTGTCCATGCTGTTCCATGGCTGGAATGGATTATTTCAACGGTAACTGATTTTACATTGGTCAACATTAACAGGATTGGTGAAGTAGTCCGGAATATACTATACAGCATTTTATATGGCTCACTGATTGATGCGTGAATGTATATCCCACAAAGAAGAGAAGCAGCCTTCCTGCCATGAATGAATGAGTGTTTTGTCCCCACGCTGAGTGAACTCCCACCTGTTCCCATGTCGTACAGGACTGGAGGTTGAGGCTGTTTGATGGTAATGGGAAACACAGCCTCATGGTCCTCAAACTGGAAGGATGCTGAGAACAGAAGAGGAAAGCTGTGTCTCACTGATAATACATTAGGTAGGGCACACTAACACATTTCACAAACTCTAGATTAAACACCCACAGAAACACACATTTATACAAACAAACCTGTACAAAACATTGACAACTTTGCAATTCTATTTGATTACATGTGCTCTTTTAGGGTTAGGGTGAGGGTTATCTTGTGCATCTCCTTGCTACAAAGACACATTTAGTATACAAAGACAATTCTTTATGTCATACCGAGGTCTCCGGTGTGTATGTGGTAAACAGTGCTGGTATAGGACACATCAGCCAGCAGCTCATTGAGGGCCTCCAGGCTGCTGGTCTCCATCATCAGTCGGCTCTCACCATTACCTGTCATGGGGAGAACATACTATATGAGTTTATCTCCACCAAAACATGTGTATACTTTTTCATTTGTTTAACCAGTCACATTTAGTTAGAGCTCACCTTGGACCTGCGCTCCTTCAGCTGGAATCACTGTGCTCAGGACTCCTTTGGACACTTTCAAGGAGACCTAGAGTCGACACACTCAGTAAATCTTCATCGTTTATTTTGGAAGAAAAAAAAACATGGGATGACGATGGGTGAAAAAAACTATCAAAATATTTGCGTACTCTACTTCTTGCCATAACATTAGCATTGTTTGATTAAAAAGGTTGAATTATCTTCAGTTAGTTTAGCACCATGGAAATAACCACCACCAGGGAGAGCACACACCGGCTGCAAAGCACAGGGGAAGCTGGGATGCACAGATAGCCCACATCAGGAAAACCCAAGATATCTCAATGGTATTGGAATCGGAGGAAATCACATAGTGATGGCTAAAGTTAAGAAGAGGACCCAGGTTTCTCTGAAGGAGATCAGATGTATCTGTGGGATCACACCAACCGTGTAGTTGCTTCTTTGTGCTGCATGCAGTGCTAGACCTGAAATCAAAAGGAAGTGTGCTTTGATACTCTCCAGTTACACAAGTACAGTCATTCACCTCTGGCTTTGTTGACCATGTACTAAACACATGTAACGCAAATATACCAGGGTGTGATCAAACCAAAACAAACATCTCCTTCCTGTCTAACTGGTTCCTGAGCCATTCATCAATATTTGTTCACTGTATTTAAACACAGCCTTCTGTTGTGTCACAATGCAGAGTAATGAAAGGACAACCTGTACGGTGTAGCATACCTGGGATGAAGGTGGGGGTCATAGGTCGTACTTTGAAACCCTGGATAGGGTACTGCAGGGGAGAGTTAGACGGAGCATACAGCCGTGTGGATAACACAGACTCAGTCCTGTTGGGGAGATAGGAGGGTTAGTAGTGAGGATGAGGTAAAGGCTTCAAACATAAATCAAAAAGATGCCGTGCAAGTATGTGATCCAATAAATAAAATATATCCAAATTGTTTTAAATGGCTTTACAGTGGACAGGCAGATATAAAAGGTTTACAGGCGGTATATTATACCTGGTATTACTGAGATGCTCTGTACCTTTATAAGATACTCTTCTTGTTCAAGAATATAAACACTAGTATTTCCAATGTTCTGCTTGTAATAATAACAAGTCAATGGCAAGCACCCACCCTTAACTACCTGTTTTTGTGTTGTCGGAGCTCCTTTTGTCTGCGCTGCATCAGCTCCTTAGACTCAGCCTCAGGGAAGGCATCTTTGAGGAGAAGTGCACCTGTGGGACAGGTGCATGGACCAGGTGGGGGGAGATAACTCGGGGGAGGCAACCTGCAAAGTTGGGGGTTTCATGGACGTCATCAAGTATCACAATTAGGTTTTTGTGATATTAAGAGTAAACAGCTACAATGACCAACCATACGGTAACCTCCGAGTGAAGCCGATGCATAGGTGCTTTAAACTGTTACCATAGGGCGGGGTGTCCGGTGCCTTGCTCAAGGGCACCACGGCAGGGCAGGAGGTGAACTGGAACCTCTCCAAGTAGCAGTCCACACTCCATATGTAGGTCTGTTCGGGGACTTGAACCGGCGACCCCTACGGCTCCCAGTCCAAGCCCATACTAAAACATTTCCTGACGAGTTCAGGTTCTCAATCTCTAGATGAAGTGTTTTTCATTTCAGATGTCCATTTTTCAATGATGGTCTCATGTGGAGTAAACTATAGCAGGGTACACTTTAGTAAATATACATTTAGCACATCGTAGCATGGAGCAGATCAGGGCCGGCCCTGGGCATAGGCAGTATAGGCGAATGCTAAGGGCGCATCAATCAATCAGCGCCGAAAATTGAAAGACAAAAAAAAGTTAGAAATTTAAAAAATATTTTTATTTCATAACACAATTTCCCGATTTTGTATCAACAAAGTACATCTTATTATCTTATACTAACAGAACTACGCCTATATTGCGTACAACGCCCATAAACTATGGTGCACCCCCCCCAAATCAAGTTGAACCGCCCCAGTAAAAACCAGAGGTTTATGTGAAATAGTTCTTTTTTTTTTAAATAATGGTTTTAGTGGGCAATTATAGGTTTTAATTTTGTATTTGTGTGAATTTAAAATAAATAAAACTCCCAAAAAACGTATACAGCTTTTATTAACATTGGAATTTACTGTGTAAGCGGCCGCGGAGGAGAGCTTCAGAGAGCTCTCTCCTGAAAGACTGAGAGGCTTTGATAACCTCAGCTCAGTGAGGTAAAGGCACACCTTTATATGATCATTATAGTTAAAAAATAAGATAATAGTATAAAATACTATAAAGTTGTTATTAATAAACAAGAATACAGTTTAAAAGGGGAGTGATTTGTAAAATATCTATAAATAAATAAAAAATCTGCTTACAGTTCTGTTTCATCTGGGTGTTGAGAGATGTATCCATAGATCTCTTAATGTTGTTCTCAAAGTGCACCAGATTGATGCTTTTAACTTCAATATTACAAAAAAATCCCCCTAGAGGAGGTTAGGTCCACCCCACTTAAATCATGTTCAAATGGATAGGAAACTAAATACATTTGCACACATCTTGTGTCCATATCTTTCTGTTTTGGTGGTCATGCCACAACTGTGCATGCATGCGCGGGTCATAGTGAGTGTCTGCATTTTGGGGGGTGGGGGGTGGGGGGGGGGGGCGCCAGCTAAAATCTTGCCTAGGGCAGCCAATTGGTTAGGGCCGGCCCTGGAGCAGATTCCCAGTAGGGATGCACCAGCTCAGTCAGTGGGGACTAGGTTTGACCTCCTGCAGAGGGCAGTACTGTTTGACTCCATTGCAATTTGGACCACTACAGTTTCAACAATGGGGTTGGACTGGCGTGGGGAGTAACGTAAGCACTGCATGCAATCAGGATTAAAAGAACCCTCTTTACCTCTTTGTTTTTGGATAACTTGGTTTTAAAAGCTCTTTGTGGACAACATGGCTTAAAAGATCTCCACCAATGGAAGAGAAAAATAAATGGTGCATGTTGCCGACACACATACGAGAACAACAGTCCAAATGTTGCATTAGCCATCTGTAGAGAGACAAGAAGAGGCCAAGGGATCAATTCATTAAGCATTTGCTGTTTTACAACATGTTTCAATGGAACTTCCGACACCAGTAAACAACAGAAACCCACCAACATACACTGTATAGCACAGGAAGAACAGAACAGAACTGGCACTCTATATGGGACAAAAAGACCAAGAAAGTGTCACCATACGTTCTAAAAACATGAAAGAAATCAAAAAGGTAATGAAAGAATAACGCCGCTCCGGAGGGCCTTTTGTCAGCGCTGGGGAATATCACCAGGACCCAGATGCAGTTTCAAAAGACAAAAATGTCAGGGAACAAAAAGCTAGCTTTATTAAAAAGCCAATGAGAAGAAAAAAAACAACAACTAAACAAGACCGAGGAAAAAGACAGACATGAAACAAACTTACAAGCATGGGCCGGTATCTAGGACAGACGACGAACAGGTAACTAGGACAGACGACGAACAGGTAACTAGGACAGACGACGAACAGGTAACTAGGACAGACGACGAACAGGTAACTAGGACAGACGACGAACAGGTAACTAGGACAGACGACGAACAGGTAACTAGGACTTGAAAAAATACGACGATCCGACATGCAGCACACGGGAAAGAGAAGACTAAATACACAGAAGGGTAATCACAGGACAAGACACAGCTGGCAGGGGATGGCAGAAAACACAAGGGCAACAGGTGAACACAATGAGGCACAATCAGACACAGGAAGGAAGACCAGACACGGGGGAAAACAGAATTTCAAAATAAAACCATAACTAAACACACACAACTAAAACCATGACACCTTACGCACGGCTGTTCTTTTGATCAAGTACAATATCTGAGTACTTCTACTTTTACTGAAAGTACAAGATCTGAGTACTTCTACTTTTACTCAAGAACAAGATCTGAGTACTTCTATTTTACTCAAGTAAAAGATCTGAGTACTTCTACTTTTACTCAAGCAAAAGAATCTGAGTACTTCTACTTTTACTCAAGAACAAGATCTGAGTACTTCTACTTTTACTCAAGTACTAGATCTGAGTACTTATACTTTTACTCAAGTAAAGATCTGAGTACTTCTACTTTACTGAAGTACAAGAAGTCTAAGTACTTCTACTTTGACTCAAGTACAAGACCTGAGTACTTCTACTTTTACTCAAGTACAAGATCTGAGTACTTCTACTTTTACTGAAGTACAAGATCTAAGTACTTCTACTTTGACTCAAGTACAAGACCTGAGTACTTCTACTTTTACTCAAGTACAAGATCTGAGTACTTCTACTTTTACTCAAGTACAAGATCTGAGTACTTCTACTTTTACCAAGTACAAGATCTGAGTACTTCTACTTTTACTCACGAACAGAGATCTGAGTACTTCTACTTTTACAAGTACAAGACTCTGAGTACTTCTACTTTTACCAGTACAAGATCTGAGTACTCTACTTTTACTCAAGTACAAGATCTGAGTACTTCTACTTTTACCAAGTACAAGATCTGAGTACTTCTACTTTTACTCAAGATCTGAGTACTTATACTTTTACTCAAGGTCTGAGTACTTCTCCCAAGGTCGAGTACTTCTCCAGTCTCTCTACAGCAGATGTACTCTTAAAACCCCAATGGAATATAAGGTAACTCCATCTCACACGAAACGACAGAACTGTGATTCTGATCACCATCAGAGAATAGTTCAAGGTTATTTTATAGGAACATGGATTCTCACAGTTGGTCTTTGCGAGGATCCTCTCCGAGGACCCTCTCAGAGGCCTCCGAGGACCCTCTCAGAGGACCCTCTCCGAGG